CTAATTTTAGTATAAATAATGCATCGATCCAACATGAAATAATAACTTGCAAGTAAAGCTTTACTTAGTCCATTTCTCCATTGAGTTAAACGTCAATAAAATATGGGATTAAAATTGTCACGTGATTTGATCACTGGCAATTTCCAATTGAGTTCATCATTTTAAGTATTCTGATGTTTAAATACTATTCTCTCTTTCTTTCTTTCTTTTTTTTACGTCATTTTGAACTGGTCCATATCTAAATTTTTAGTGCTCATTAATAATCTCTATAGACTATAGATGTATAGATCCCATAACCCCATGTTCAACTTACCATTCAAAGTCTCCAATCTCTGAAGGTTCATAGCAATTTTGCAAATTCAATTTCTGTTATGTATTGAACATTTTGCATCTTTTGGATTGACATTAAATATTAAATTCAAACTTGCTATTGTATTCTTTGTAGCTAGAATGGATTTTCCTTGGTATCTAACGTAATGAATGAAAGGATCTTTGAAGAATGATAAGGTAGACGAAAAGTCCTTAGAAAATAGATTCTACAAGATGTTCAAGACGACCTTTTGTGTTGCCACCTTGTAGTCACAAGCCTTGTCTGTCCCTCTTCTCGAACCCAACTTTGTACTTATGTGTGTGGAGTAAAGACCTGCATAATTGACCAAATCAAAAATCAAGTTCCCTGTTGGACCAAGCACCATTTATTTTCTCTTTTCATTGCCTCTTTCCTCAAATGTTTACTTATATATAATATACCATTGCATTAATGAAACTATGCCATAGGAAGCTTGTTAAATACACAAAATTTTATAACAAATGCTTATATGTCACTAGCAAAAGAAATTGAAGCACAATGCATTTCCTATCCACTAGTCCTCTAGCACTTGCAAGAATTTGGCTTTCCTTTTTATTCATCTCCTTTCTTCTCATTAATGGTTACCAAGCTGAGACTACGAATGGAGACAACAAAGTTATATCCATAGGTGCAATCATTGATGCTAACTCTCGCATTGGGAAAGAACAGCAAGTAGCCATGGACATTGCAGCTCAAAGTTACAATGACACTTCAAAGACCTATAAGCTTGCCCTCTATTTTCAAGAACCCACCAGGGATCCCTTTAGAGCCACTTCCCTTGGTAAATAACATCAAGCATTTTCTGAGAAAAAGATAGATTTTTATTCCTTCATGGTTTAACTTTGTTAAATATGTAAATTATTAAATGTGAACCTCTTTCATGCAGCTGAAGAGATGATTCAAAAGCAGAAGGTGCAAGTGATTGTGGGGATGCACACATGGACAGAAGCAGCTTCAGTGGCTGAATTAGCACGCCAAACTCAAGTTCCTATCATATCCTTTGTAGCACCTTCCATTACCCCACCATTGATGCCAATTCGCTGGCCTTATTTGGTGAGACTCGCTAACAATGGTACTGCATATGTAAAATGCATTGCAGATATGGTGCATGCTTATAGATGGCAGAAAGTAGTAGCAATTTACGAAGATGATGCCTATGGTGAAGATTATGGGATGCTAGCACTGCTATCTGAGGCCCTCCAAGAAGTTGGTTCAATGATTGAATACCGTTTAGCTCTGCCATCACCTTCTTATCTGAATGATCCTGGACAGTTTATTCGTCAAGAGCTGTTTAAGTTAAGTGAAAATACACAATCTCGGGTATTCATTGTTTTGCAATCATCATTAGAAATGGCGATTCATTTGTTCAGAGAAGCTTCACAAATGGGACTTGTGGATAGAGAATCAGCTTGGATTATCCCAGAGAGCATAACTAATTTGCTGGACTCTATCAATAAGTCTGCTATTTCCTATATGGAAGGAGCTTTAGGAATCAAGAACTACTACTCGGAAAATAGCAGTGAATATCAAGATTTTGAGGCTCAGTTTCGGAGAAAATATAGGGCCAGGTATCCTGATGAAGATAACCGCAACCCAGGATTTTATGCTCTGCAAGCATATGATAGCATTAAAATTGTTGCACGAGCAGTAGATAGAATGGTGGTCAGTGGCAATACTAGTGGCAAAAGGACTTTACTAAGAGAAATATTGTCTAGCAATTTCATTGGTTTAAGTGGAGAAATTCAATTTGAATCAATGCAGCTCTTGCAGAATCCTACCTTAAGGATTGTAAATATAGATGTGAAGAGTTACAGAGAATTAGACTTTTGGACTGTAGAAAATGGATTCCTCACTAGCATCCCCACAGAACAAGGTGGAAGTAATGTTTCTAGGAATACAAAAAGTTTAAGTGGTGTTGTAATTTGGCCTGGGAAATCGCTGAGAGTTCCAAGGGGCTGGAATCTGCCAACTAAACAAAATCCAATGAAAATTGCGGTCCCTGGAAGAACTCAATTTTCCAAGTTTGTCAAGGTTGATTATGATGAGCATGGAAATCCACATAAATATAGTGGATTCTGCATTGAAATTTTTGAGAAGGTGTTAGAACTTTTGGAGTATGATCTGCCATATGAGTATTATCCCATCAATGGAACCTATCATGATCTGGTTCAACTTGTCTATAACAAGGTAAGAACTTACTCATTTTACTTTTGATATTGCTGGAATTTGAAGGTGTTTGGTATCGCCAACATTTCCACACTAGTATGCAATAAAATACCCCATTTTTCATGGATACTAAAATACCACACTAGTATGAAAACATGAAAATATTGAAGGTCTTATGTATAGGTATCCAAGATCTCCACATTCTTGGGATCTTGTGTATATCTCGATCTATTTTTTGTCTTCCAAACCATTGAATTTTTCTTAATTCTGATTATTTTGCTTAAAGACCTAAAAAAAGAGTTCTGTGCATGAATTTTAATCACCCCCACAAAAAGAGTGGTCCTTTAACTTTGCTTATCTTACCTTCCAGTGAAACTTTAATTTTTTGTTTTCCTTATGGGGACTAACAGCCCCTTTGTGAGTCTTTCTTGCTATGGTAAGGAAGACAAACTTGTATAACTAAGTTCTTTACTTGTCCTAAATGCAACGTTGACTTTTCTTAATTTTGAACTTCAGGTATAACTCAATTTCTCCTCTCTTTTTTGCTTTACTGACCTAGACACTTTTATGGTTGTCATGTGATTTAAAAATGATGGAAGACTTATGAGGCTGTTGTTGGCGATACGACCATACTAGCAGACAGATTGCAATATGTAGATTTTACAGTGCCATTTGCAGAATCAGGATTATCAATGATAGTTCCGGGAAAGTCTGAAGAATCAGCATGGATGTTTGTTAAGCCCTTCACATGGCAAATGTGGGTGGTAACTGGTGCCATCTTGATTTACACAATGTTAGTAGTGTGGTACCTCGAGCGGGAAACAAATTCAGAGTTTCATGGCAATTGGAAAAGCCAGATCAGCACTGCTCTTTGGTTTACCTTCTCCTCTCTATTCTTTGCTCATAGTGAGTATCAATCTATCTCATATTTCAATTATCAACATTGATCAACTATAGTTCTGGAAAACATTGGTAAACTATACTCGGTTAAAAAAAATAACAATAGTAATAATAAGTAGAGAAGGTAAACCTCAACGAAAATAAACAATAAAGAAATCATGATTTGCATTAAACTAAACTGATGCCAACTGCTTCATGTTGCAGAGGAGAACATACATAGCAACTTATCTCGGGTGGTGATGGTATCATGGCTATTTCTAGTTTTGATTCTTAACTCAAGCTACACTGCTAGTCTTTCTTCAATGCTCACAGTTCAACAACTGAAACCCAATGTCACAGACATTGCGTTGCTGAGGAAGAACAACATGAAAATTGGTTGTGATGGAGATTCATTTGTTAGGACCTACCTAGAGCAAGTCGAAAGATTCAACCCAGACAACATCATAAACATTAGTAGTGAGTACAGTTATGACGGTGCATTCAAAAACTACTCTATAGCTGCAGCTTTTCTCGAACTCCCTTATGAAAAAGTATATATCAGTAAATACTGCAAGGAGTACACTGGCTCTACACCTACGACCAGATTTGGAGGACTGGGATTTGTAAGTGACAGTACAATTCTTCTAAAAATATGCATTTATTATAGGTTCAACTTACTGTTTTCTTTAAGGTAACAAAACCTATCGCAATTTTTATAATGTAATCTGAAATTCTGGCTACAAAGGAAAAGATCCAAAGGACTCGAGCTTTGTGTGTTGCAGTGCCTTTATATCTTTTGCAAATTAGCCTATATGTCACCGCTAATTTCCTAGCAATCCAATGATGCAGGTGTTCGAGAAAGGCTCCCCAGTGGCCAGAGATGTTTCTAAAGCCATATTGCAGCTCTTAGAGCAGGGAGAACTACAGACGTTAGAAGAGAAATGGTTGAAACCCTCAGGCAGTTGCTCCAACAAGTTAACCTCCGACAGTACAGAAAGTTTGAAGCTTGAAAGTTTCTGGGTTCTCTATGTGATTTCTGGGGCCACATCCACTATTTGTTTTCTACTTTCTACCATCCATTCTCTAAAATCTAGAGAAACACTCCAAGAGGAGGCACGAGATGGGAATGACCCCCCCAATGATGAGAGCCCATGGATAAAGGCGGTTAACTTAGCCAAGCAAATTTATAACAGAAAGCATAATAAAGCATGTCAGGCACAGGAAGATACTACTGATTGTTCTTCCAGATGGGATTGTATCAGCAACACTAACAACCCTCAATTACCAGAAATCATAACGGTCTCTTCCCCACCAACACCGTTACAAATGACAACTCCTGATCACTAGGAAATATAACCAATAACAACCTTTTTTCATCCAACTCTAGCTCTAGGAAGGTAACTAAAGGAAGGAAGCATGTATATATAGCATTTCAATGCTGGCTTTTGTCTTTTATTTATCACCTGTTCCTTGGTCATCAGCTTTTTTAAGGATTCTAAATCATAACGAAGCCTTTATTAGACATCAGGATAGAAGTTATATGAACTTTGTAAATTGATTATCGTAATGAGCAGGGAGTAAATGCATTGAAATTAACAATATTAAAAGGGCACTTGTACAAAGAACCTAACTATTTAATTCCATATTTGCTTGAAACAACTAAAATTCTTACAAGTTAGACATGGTCTTCATATAAATGCACTTGTCATTAAATTACATGCATACATACCAAAGGGCATCAGAATTCGTCAACCGGTCTTCATCTGCTGCTCGCATCAAATGGATTGGAAAATGATCAATAACTCAGTATTGTACATAAACAAGCTTTGGAAAAAGTACAACAAAATGAAAAATTCATCGTCCTCTATAATCAAAACTTCCTCTGACAAAGAATTTCAGTAACATTAACAGGTCCTATGCGTATTCTGGTACAGTCTCGTGAAATCTGATGTTTTCTACATCAATACTTCAATAAAGTTAACGATACCCTCTTCCTCTTCCACGACCACCCCAGCCCCGGCCTCTGCCCCTTGTTCCACCTCTCCCACCACCAGATAATCCCTCCAATGCTCTATTGACAAGTTGATTTTGCAAACCACCAGCACCCCGACCCTTCTTTGATGCAATGTTATTGGATCCATTGGCCGCAGTAGCAGGCCGTTTTGCTCTGCATAAGTAAAAACTCCATAGATAAGTTGATCGACTTCAATTATTTCTGTTGTCCCAATCCACATGAAATTTTTAAGCAAACAAACTATGAAGCATTTATGATATAACTTTCTTTCACAGGTTTCTTTTAGAAGCTGCTCTTTCTAGCTTCTGAAAAAGGCACTATTAACAGTTTTATTAAGGATTTTCATTGTTTTTTAAAAAAGTATTTAAATATAACAAAAATTCTAAAACATATTTTCAGTTAAAAAGTGCTTTTTTCTTTTCCTAAAAACATAAACAAACTGGTCCTAAAATGATTTTTACAGGCAAAGAAAAAGATACTATACCCAGCAACTGGTGTGGCAGATGATGCAGTTTTTGTTGCTTCTTTCCAAGAAAGGTTGATTCTCTTATCTCCAATAAAAGAAGGCACTTTGGCGTGCAATGGCTGACAACACAAATCAAACAATTAAATAATTACGACAGTAAAAAAAGGGCATTGTGGGTGTTTTGGGGGTCAGGGGAATTAATCAATTAAAATCATGCAAGCAATTACTCATTTGCCAAAGTGTCAAGAAAGTTGAATCCCTCTTACCTTTGTCATTGTCAAAATGTTATTGCAGGTCCGCAACCCAGTTGTAGCATTTTGTTTTTTAGTTTTCTGGAAAATCATGTAGAAATTTAAGTATGATACCTACATTACATAATAAAGGAAAGGCACGACGAAGAACTAGAATTATTCAAGTTGAACCGGTCATCGACTCAGTATGGGTCATGGGTCATGAATTAAACTAGTTGAATTGAATTTATCTGTAATAAATATTATAATATATTGGTTATGGCCAACTGAAGCTAGTGGCATAGTGGTAAAGAGTAGCTTGTATCAATCTTGAAGTCTGAGGTTCCATCCTCAGTAATGGTATTTTCCACCATTTTACACATTTCATAAAAGCCGATTTAACAAAAAAACCAGTACCGGTTGGACCCGGTTTGCAATCAGTTCGCCAGTTCAAATGCACGAGCGATCCAATAGCTGGACTGGACTGTTTGGTGATCCGATTTTCGATTGAATCAATCAGACAGGGCGGTCCGGTCGGGTTTTAATTACACCGCGAAGAACTACCAAAGCACAAGATAAAACTCACAATTTTTTCCTTTTCTTCTTCAGTTTTAGCATCTGCCATAGATTTGTTGTTTTCAGCCATTCCTTGAGTTAATTTCTTAATTGTAGCCCGGGTGAACTCCTCAACGTTATTCAATCTGGAAAAAGATTATAAACCAAAAATGTAACCAGAAACAAAAAAATATGATAAAATAAATTGTAGAACAAACCCCACAGGAAGATGGATACAAAAGGCGTAAAAATGGCAAAACAATGTGTAGTTTACTAGATTGGAATAGTTGCAACCAATCAAGTACTTTCATCCTTCCCAAACCATGGAAAACTTACATGCTGAAGGACAAAAGAGATCCATATTACAATGACATAAAGAGTGTCAAGAACAGGAGTAGACGTCTTCTGAACTAAACCAGATGTTGTTACAAACTTACAATGTAAAGTTGTTTAACTGATACTCTACCAAAAAGCCTCTTAGTCATAAATCTTAATCAGACCCTACCGATCATCGCAGGCCTCATGCAATTCTAATGTCTTAAAAACCTATCAGATATTGCTTAACTTTAGACCCAATTGACAACCCCCACAAATAATGAACTCGAGAATGAAGAGAATTCAGAGGACAGAGAGAGTAAGAGAGATACATCCAAATCCAGGGAATAAGGGATTATCGAGGAACAAAATAGTAATTGTGTAGACAATGTAAAGGTAAGTAGCATGAATTTCCATAAATGGAGTCAAGTTAATCTGCTCTCTTTCCAACTAACAAGTAGAAAGAAAAAAAGAAAAGAATAAATACAAATGCAACAGAAAATAAATAGGATCATGTCAATACACAGCTGAATACTCAAAATATACAATTGAAAGGGTTTTATTTTTTGTCAAATTGAAAAGAAACTTACAGGCATAAATACAAACTTACAGGAGGATATAAAGCAAGGAGACCTGACACCCTGACCATATAATGTCTAAATATTTGTTCAACCATACTCTTTCAAATTGTCCCCCTCAATGGAACTTGGAACCATATTCGGAATAACTAAATATCCAAGACTATTATGTAGATATTGCATAGTGGCATTCTTTCATTTCTTTGTGATCCATATCACTATAAAACTCAGAATAATCACAAGCATAAACGTTTAGAAAAGCTACATTAACTCCTCAAATATAAAAAGACAAACCAATAAGTTGGGATTTGAATGCTAACTATGCAGTCTTATCACCCCAAAACTTCATAGTCCTCTGGAATAATAGTTTTATGCCTGGTGTGCCTTTTAGATATTGGAGAATCCTATTCACAGCCTGCAGGTGTTTTTCCCTCGGATCATGCATGAATTGACTAACAATACTAACTGCATAAGCTAGATCAGGTATAGTATGAGCCAGGTATATCAATCTTCCCACTATACGTTGATACTGTCCTTTGTCAACTGGAGGACTCTCATTCTCACTTCCTAGTTTGTGATTCTGCTCAATTGGAGTACTGGAAGGTTTACACCCAAGTTTTCATGCTTCCTTAAGGAGATCAAGAACATACTTCCGTTGACAAATAAAGATCCTTTGCTTTGAATGAGCAACTAATATCCCAAGAAAATATCTCAGTTTTCCAAGGTCTTTAACTTCAAATTCAGCAGTCAATCTTTCTTGCAGAGCATGCTTCTCATCTATATCATCCATTGTTATAATAATGTCATCAACATAAACTAAAAGGATAGTGAGCTTACCTTCCTGAGAATGTTTAAAGAAAAGTGTATGATCCCCTTGACTTTGTTTGTACCCCAATGAAAGCATAACTTTTGTAAATCTTCCAAACCAAGCACGTGGGGATTGCTTCAAGCCATACAATGCCTTAATTAACCTGCAAACTTTGTTTTCTCCATTTGTAGAGTTAAATCCTGGTGGGATCTCCATGTAAACCTCTTCTTCTAATTCGCCATTGAGGAAGGCATTCTTCACATCAAATTGTCTGAAATCTCAATTAAAATGAGCAACAAGCAACAATAGAACTCTTACAATGTTCATTTTGGCCACTGGAGCAAACGTTTCTTCGAAATCAATGCCATAGGTCTGTGTGTACCCTTTGGCAACCAGTCGAGCTCTATACCTTTCAAGAGTCCCATCAGAATTATACTTCGAAGTATGCATCCTACTGCCCTTTTTCCATTTGGCCTGTAAACGACTTCCCATGTATTATTCTTTTCCAATGCATTCATCTCGTCATGCATGGCTTGAACCCAATTGTCATCTTTTAATGCTTCATGTACTGATTTCGGGATTGAAATGGAGTCAAGTGTTGTAATAAAGCTTATATGCTGCATAGAGAGATTTTTAGAGACAAAATGAGAAATAGGGTGTTGGGTACAAGGCTTTTTCCCTTTTCTTACAGCAATTGGTAAGTCAACAGAATTAATATCAGACTTAGGAATAAAAGAAGTAGTGTATTCAGTACTTACCAGCTGTTCCGGTGATTGCAGTTGCAGGTGGGGCAGTGTGGGTTGTTTCTTCCTTTGGTAAAGTAGTTCAAGTGTCCCAGCTTTGCGTACTTTCTATCGATCAATTGGAGGCATGTCACAAAACGAATCAGATTAACTTTCAGCCTCATCAACTAAGTCTTCAAATGTCATGTGGTGTAACTACTGGGGTAGGAGATAATGTAGGTAAAGGAAGGGGAGACTCAGATTCAAAGAAAATGGAAGGAGCTTCAATATTGTTCACCCCCAGAAGCTGAGAAAGTAGAAAGTAGGACTCAGATTCATGGAAGCTAACATCCATAGACACAAAGAATTTACGACTCGGAGGATGATATCATTTGTATCCTTTCTTGTTGGGAGCATAACCAAGGAAGACACACTTAAGGGCTCGAGGCTCTAATTTACTCCAATGTTGTTTATGGACATGAACAAAGACAACGCATCCAAAGACACGAGACTGGAGACTTTGCATAATTGGAACAGAAGGAAAAAAGGAGTTCATGAGATCAACAGGACTTACATGGCCAAGGATTCTAGAAGGCAAGCGGTTGATCAAATAAGCTGCAGTTAATACAGCTTCTCCCCAGTAAGAGTTGGGTACAGATGTCTGAAATAATAATGCTCTGGTGACTTCAAGCAAATGTCAATTTTTTCTTTCAGCAACCCCATTTTGTGAGGGACGTGTTAGAAAAGTATATAAACCATCAATAGACTCTCTTTGTGAGGGGGTGTGTTAGAGTATGATATAAACCATTAAAGAGGCCTCAATTCAAAATATGACCCTATTCGGGTTCAAATCCTTGGTAAGGAAAAATTACCTTTCTTTCTGAAGTTTTTCATACTGTCACGGGTGATTGAGTTGTAGGAGTGTAATGATGGATACCAAGTTGTCTAAAGGATCTGTCATGATCTCATCTAAAGTCACTACTTCAACTCCTTCTGACGAGTCTGCTATGATCTCAGCTAAGCCACCTCAGGGCTCTCCTTTCTTTAAGTCACCTCAGGGGTCCTCTTCCTTTAAGCCCAACAAAGAGGGGCATTGGTGCAATTATTGTAAATGACCAGGTCACACAAAAGATGTTTGCTACCGTCTTCATGGGAGGCAGCAGGTTTTGAAGAAGCTTGGTAAGCCACCCTCACGTGGTCAATCTTTCTTGGCCCCTTCAGACATTCCTCCTGTGAATGAGACCTCACAGATGCCTTGTGAGTTTACTATTTGTCATGAGGAATTGGAACGGCTTAGGTCTGTATTTGAATCTCTCAATAAGCCTTCTGGTACTGGTACTTTGGCTATGACTGGTAAAAACTCATGCACTCATTCTTTTATCGCTTCTTGTACTGATTTCAAAACTTCATGGATTGTGGATTTTGGTGCTACTGATCATATGATTTGCTATAATGACCTTTTTCTTTCTTATAATCCTACTGTTGGTATCCGTACTATAGCCGTAGCTGATGGATCAGACACATCAATTGCAGGTTCTGGTAACATTCAAATCCAACCCTCCTTGTGTCTCAAGAATTCTCTCCATGTTCCCCAACTTTCTACCAATCTCCTTTCTACTAATAAGCTTACTACAGATTTGAATTACACTGTAACCTTTTTCCCTACTCATTGTGTTTTTCAGGATCTCACCACGGGGAAGACGATTGGAGTTGCTAAGGAGAGGGTGGGTTGTATTATCTGGTTCCAGACTTTGCTACAGATGGTTCTTTACATGGTATCAAAACCTCAGTGTCACGGGTTCGATCCTCACCATTTCCCACTTTTTATTGTGGAATTTCCTTAGCACAGATAGGTGGGCCTGTGCATTGTCCACCCTTCAAGCCCAGTGGGCTTTCGTGTGAGGGAGTGTGTTAGAGAATACTATAAATCATTAAAAAGCCCTCACCCATCAACTTAAGCTTTTGGATTGAATTGGTTCTTTACAAAAATACAAACCAAAGAATAGGTGAATAATCTTAAATATACAATTACTCAAGAAAGATTATACCTCTCAATAAAATCATTATAATGCTCTGAAAAGTCCTCTCCAAGCCTATCAGATGGCTGGCCAGTAACAATTTTGTAACCGCATAAACTATTTGTGGCATTAGGAACCTACATAACCAAGTGCAATTGTACACAGCATATAAGTGACTCACACAACAGTATGATATTTTCTTAATGCTCAGATAAAGGTAATATAACCCACCTTATGAGCTAGGTGATGAAACGTGTACAACAAGCACTCAACATAAGTAAAGTTCATCTCTTCTCCAGTTTTCTTCCAAGTCATGTATTTCTGAAAAGAGCAAAGTAAACAGCTTAATGAAAAAAGAAAAAGCAGATTATATTAAATCATGTTAGTAAATATATAATAAACATATATTGATCCTTGAGAGATTGTGTTTGAGTTGATCTAATCCTTCAAAGATTATTCAAAGTAGTTAACTACATCACTCTTTAAGCTTGACTCAATAAGGAACTGAGGTAAACCAAAACTTGAGGTTACATCTTAATAAGGAACTGTATTTCTGAAAAGAGCAAAGCAAACAGCTTAATGAAAAAAGAAACTAGCCACATTAAAATCCCACTTTAGCTAGTTAACAATGTGCTTGGAACTTTCAAATAACAGAATAAACTGGAATAAAGTAAACATAAAAATTTGATATCGTCATAGCAGAAAACATATTGCAATATCCAACACATCGATATCTGCCAATCATGCCATTTTTCAACAAAAGGTTTACCTTCAGCAACTGAACAATAGAAGGAAGCATTTGGCGTGAATCTTGTGGCGTTGTGTATGGTGAAAATTCTGCAAGGCTTCTGAGTAAATCTACTTTCCGCTCTCCAGGAAGCTGATAGGAATAAAATCATTATAAATTTCTCAACAAAAAATACCACAATCAAGAAAATTATTCACAAGATTCCACTAATTACAAATCCATATTCACCAGCCAATCCAAGATCTAGGAAGTTAATCAGTAAAAATATCATAGGTATGATTCCTTATTTATACTTTATCTGAATAAATCAAACAACTTAAGATTACAACTGACCACTTATGTACTGAAGTTAGAACAACATAATATATCAAGTTTAGAAGGAAATATGTTTTTTGAACGGTGCCTGCTACACATAAAGGAATCAAAGGAGTTGTTTAAATCAATATCTCGCAATTCAACAACCACTAACCACATAGTTGTTTTAGATGCCGGTACATATTACATCAAGGTATCCCGCAGTTTATAAATAAAATGTTAAATGCATGGAAAGTAAATTAAAAGACTTAGTACATAATAGTAGAAAATTATCCTATGCATCATATAAAAGTAGGCTATTTTACATCAAAGATGGACAGGTAAGCACCTCTGTAGGGTATTTAAACCATTAGAATAAGGGTGACTTCACTATTATTTTGAAGATACGCAAAATGAAATGTGCAGAATACTATGTTGGATTTTTTCTTGTTTAATTGTAGAATTTAATTTAAAAACAAATTATCTACTCCATCCGACTAGTTCCGGGTTCGAGTCCCGGGCAACCCGTATTAATATAATAAATTATTCATAATTAATTAATATATCGAAGTTAATGTTCATATTATACAACACTGGAATTGAATAAAGCATGAAGTCGGCTTTGAACTTCATGTTAACTGCTTCCAAACTAGCACTTATGACTAAAATTCACATTGTTGCTTACCGCACAATTTTGTTACTTTTTTTCTTTTATTCAGTTCATCAATAACCAGGGGGTAAGCCTCGGTAAAACAATAAAGCTGCTTCATTGTGAGCAGATGATCATGGGTTATAGACATGGAAACAACCTCTCTGCTTATGGGGTAAAGGCTCTACATACATCTGACCCTCCCTATACACCCACAGTATTAGGAGCCTCCGTACTGCCACCCTTAATCATTCATTTTTTCTTTGAACATCCCCCTTAATCATCATATCAATCATCAACCTTCCTGTTTTTCTTTCAAGCCACCACAGTTAAGAGGATATACAAATATGATATGATACAACTCCAAATCAATTATGTATGAAGGAAACAAACCCTCAGCAAACACAGATAAAGGAGATAAAATAAATATAGAAATGAGAAAACTCAAGGTACTCAGGAAAAATACATCCATTCCTTTGATTTTTTTAAAAAGGAAAAATGAACACATTTCTTTAAAATGGAGCTAAGCCCATAATTATCAACCCCGAATCATGCCAAGGAGGGGCTAACCCAAAAAGGCCACAGTGGGATTGCGGATAGCAGAATAGCAGCTATACCGAAGACCGTAGATATAAGACAATCAATTATATGCTATACATATATATGCTCAAAGGAAAAAAACAAAAAATAATAAACAAACTTAAAGACTGTAATAATTAATGTTATGGTATCTGTAAAGAACCAATTCAACCCAAAAGCTTAAGCTGTTAGGTGAGGACCTTTTTAATGGTTTATATTATACTGCAACACACCCCGTAACACGAGAGCCCATTGGGCTTGAAGGGTGGACAATTCACAGGCTCACCTACATGTACTAAGAAACTCTACAAGACTTAATTAATTATTAATTAAATGGGAGGCAGTGAAGATCGAACCATGACACCGAGGCTCTGATACCATGTAAAGAACCAATTCAACTCAAAAGTTTAAGCTATTAGGTGAGGGCTTTTGTAATGATTTATATTATACTCCAACAGTATCAAAGCCTATAACCAAGTGGTCTAGGCTCTAGAGTTTGATCCTTATCGCCCCATTCTTCAAATAAAAATGTTGAATTTAAACACAAGGTAACTGTAGAATATTCTAGAGTCTTTTACTTGTTTCTAGCTACTAGTATCTTTGAATAGTGTGATGCCTCTTCGGTTACTGTGTATTTTATTTATTACTTCATCTCCTTAACTAACTTGTAATATGTATAAATAGAACCCTTTGGGGTGTCAATCTATATATGAAAAAAATACATTTCAGTCTTATATTCCAATATGGTATCAAGAGCAGGTTATCCTGTGGTCTTCTTGTAAACCTCCATAGTCTTTTTTTTTCCATTTTTTTCACGGTTTCGTTTTTTTTACAATTCAGAAATCATATCTGGACCCCTTCAATCACGAAACCAAGACCACCACTGAACTCAGAAGCCATTTCCGAGTCGACCCACGTCAGCCCCGTCGCCGGACCGTCAGCCACGCGCCTCCACGCGCCGCCACCACAGATCTGCTTCTCCGGCGCGTGTGAGCCACGCGCCACCCTGCTGGCTTCCGTTTGTCACGCGGCTTCCACAGAACAGCTCGCCTGGCTTCCCTCTTCCTGTTCTGAGGGTTTAAATCACGATTGGATCACTTTTCTTGCTAAGTCCAGTTGTTTCCTCTTTGTTATCAAAGACAATAGGCGTGACCTGTTGCTCTCTTTCTTTTTAGAACGATGGAAGTTGGAAATAATGAGGATGAGAATAAGCATTCTGAAAAATTATCCGGTAATGTTTCCGGTGTCTCTCCTCTTTCCTGTTCTTCGTCTTCTGGAGACAACCCAGCTATACAGATTACTAACCACCGTTTAAACGGTAAGAATTATGTGCAATGGCATCAATCTGTCAAGCTGTTTATCCAAGCAAAAGGGAAAATGGGGTATCTTGATGGAAAAAAGGAAAAACCCGAAGCTGATGATCCTGATTATGATAAATGGATGATTGAAAATGCCTTGGTCATGACCTGGTTGACTAACTCCATGGATCCTGATATCAGTCAAACTTATTTGTTTCTTGATACGGCTCAGGAAATTTGGGATGCCGTTAAAGAATATTATTCTGACCTAGGCAATGCTTCTCAAGCTTTTGAACTCAACACCAAGGTAAGAGAGTTACATCAAGAGGGGATGTCTGTTACTGAATACTTTCTTGCTTTAAAAACTCTGTGGCAGGAGTTGGATCTTTATGATGCAGCAGATCTTCAAGGTTTAGAAGCTAATGCAAGGTTTAAGAGTTATTTAGAGAAAAGACGTCTCTATGATTTTCTTGCTGGCCTTAATCGTGATCTTGATGATGTTCGTGGAAGGATATTGGGGCAGAACCCGTTACCTTCCATTGCAGCTGCTTTTTCTATGGTACGACGGGAGGAACTTCGCCGAAAGGTAATGTTGGGAGACAAGAACTCTAAATCCTCCGATGTATCTGCCCTAGTAGCAAAACATACTCCTCGTCCCCCTAGTGATGCAAAACGTTCTGACCGATGGTGTTCTCATTGCAATAAGAGTGGTCACACTCGCGAAAAATGTTGGGAAATTCATGGAAAACCACCAAACTGGAAAACAAAGGGGCTGAACAAGGGTCGTGCTTATCAAATCTCTTCTGATGATAAGGGTGAGGAGTCTCGTGCCTCTCCAAACTCCGATGGTGTATTCATCCCGAAAGCTCAATATAAGCAATTCCAGAAGGTGATGTCTCAATCTGCTGAGGCAACTAGTCATGTTGCTCAACAAGGTATGGCATTCCATGTTGATCGTAGTAGTCGTTGGATTCTTGATTCAGGAGCCTCTGATCATATGATAGGTAATGCATCCTTGTTTTGTTCTTATACCTCTTATTATCACCCGTCACGAATAAGGACTGCTGATGGTAGTTTCTCTAATATTGCGGGAAAGGGATCCATTAAGCTCTCTGATCATATTACTCTGAACTCTGTCCTTCATGTCCCTTCTCTTACTTGTAACCTTATCTCTATTAGTAAACTTTCCTCTGAATTGCATTGTGTTGCTAAATTCTCTGCCAAAACTTGTGTTTTTCAGGAACAGGATTCGGGGCTGATGATTGGCAGTGCTAGAGAGGAAGAAGGACTTTACTATTTTGAAGAAGATTCTCATGAAAAGAGAATTTTTGCAAATCACTCTTTATGTTTATCAGACGATTGTAATGATGTTTTGTTGTGGCATCGTCGTTTAGGACACCCAAATTTCTTTTATCTTCAAAAGTTGTTTCCAAACTTATTTATCAATAAAAAACCAAGTTCCTTTTTTTGTGATGATTGTCAGTTTGCAAAACACTCTCGTGTTTCTTATTCCCTCAGAGATTATAATGTTTTGTCTCCATTTACATTGATCCACAGTGATATTTGGGGGCCAGCTCGTGAAAAAAATATATCTGGAACTCGTTGGTTTATTACTTTCATTGATGATCATTCTAGAGTATGCTGGGTATATCTTCTAAAGGATAAGTCTGAAGCTGCAGCCACTTTTAAAAACTTTCATGCTATGGTACGAACTCAATTCCAGACCTCTATCCAAATCCTGCGAACTGACAACGGTACTGAATATTTTAATTCAGTTCTTGGGGATTACCTAATCAAGCAAGGTATTATCCATCAAAGTTCTTGTCCTAACACCCCTCAACAAAATGGGGTGGCCGAAAGAAAAAATAGACATCTCATTGAAGTTGCTAGAGCCCTCTTGTTTACGATGCATGTCCCTAAATACCTATGGGGGGAGGCTGTATTGACTGCCTCATATCTCATCAATCGGATGCCCTCTCGTGTCCTGAATTTTCATTCTCCCCTATCTTGCCTTACCCGTTTTTTCCCCTCCTTTCGGGCTTTCTCTTCCCTTCCTCCAAAGTTGTTTGGCTGTGTGGCTTTTGTTCACATTCCTCCACATCAAAGGTCAAAACTTGATCCTAAGTCTGTTAGATGTGTCTTCATAGGATATCCTCCTAATCAAAAAGGGTACAAATGCTACTCACCTTCTCTTCGAAAGGTCTTTGTTTCTATGGATGTTACCTTTTATGAAACACAATCATTTTTTCCTTCGACTTCTCTTCAGGGGGAGTCTATTGGTGTAAATGAAGACAAGTCTTGGATTCCAAATAATTCTACTGTCTTACCTTTACCCTTGGAAACAAGTGTTGTTTCTTTACCTATGGAGACAGGGGGAGTTAATGAACAGGAGAAAAGGACAACAACTGTACCAGAGACTGGAGATCCTCCCGGTAAATGGGGAAAAATCTACAGCAGGCGTAAATCTCCTCAAGATCCTCTAGACTGCCAGAGTTCTGACCCGAGTCCTAGTTCCAGCAATCCACTTGAGAACACCGGTACATCTGACCTAGATATGCCCATTGCCCTTCGAAAAGGTACTAGATCTTGCACTGCTCATCCTATTTCTCATTACATTTCATATGAAAAGTTATCTCCAGGTTTTCGTGCTTTCAACACTATATTAGACAGTACAAAAATACCAAAAAATATCCAAGAGGCACTTAATGACCCTAAATGGAGGGATGCAGTTTTTGAAGAAATGGATGCACTTAAGAAAAATGGAACTTGGGAATCCGTGGCACTTCCCAGAGGAAAGAAAACTGTAGGTTGCAAATGGGTGTTCACAATAAAATTTAATGCAGATAACAGCATCAACAAATATAAGGCCAGATTGGTTGCCAAAGGATTTACTCAGACTTATGGGATAGACTATCAGGAGACGTTTGCTCCCGTTGCCAAACTTAACTCTATCCGAGTCCTACTATCACTTGCTGCCAACCTTGATTGGCCCTTGCATCAATTGGACGTAAAGAATGCCTTCTTAAATGGGGACTTACATGAGGAAGTTTACATGGATCCACCACCTGGTTTTGAAGAGGGAGATGGTTCAGTATGCAAGTTGAAGAAGTCTCTTTATGGACTTAAACAATCCCCTAGAGAGTGGTTTGAAAAGTTTACTCGTGTTGTTAAAGAAAGAGGATTTGTCCAAGCTCAGACTGATCACACTTTATTTTTAAAACACTCCGATAGTGGCAAAATTGCTATCCTCGTTGTTTATGTTGATGACATAATTGTCACTGGTGATGACTGGGAGGAAATAAAATCTTTAAAGGGGGGTTTAGCTAATCAGTTTGAACTGAAGGATCTTGGATCACTCAAATATTTCCTTGGAATGGAAGTTGCTCGTAGCAAGGCCGGAATTTCCTTATCTCAGAAGAAATATATCCTAGACCTGCTACAAGAAACAGGTATGCTCGGGTGCAAGCCAGTAGAAACTCCTGTTGAACCCAATATTAAATTGGGAATTGAAGATGGAAAAGATGTTGACAGGGAGCAGTACCAAAGGTTGGTAGGGAAGCTGATCTACTTATCTCACACTCGGCCTGATATTGCATTTGCAGTTAGCATGGTTAGCCAATTCATGCATTCTCCTAAGGAAAAACACCTTAGTGCGGTTTATAGAATCCTCAAGTACCTCAAAAACACCCCTGGTCGAGGAATGCTCTTTAAAAGGGGACACAAGAGGATGATAGAAATCTATACAGATGCTGATTGGGCTTGTTCTGCAATGGACCGAAGATCCACTTCAGGATATTGTACCTATGTCTGGGGAAATCTTGTGACTTGGAGAAGTAAGAAACAAACTGTTGTTGCCAGAAGCAGTGCAGAAGCAGAATTTCGGGCGCTAGCCCATGGCATTTGTGAAGGAATCTGGTTAAGAAGACTCCTTGAAGAGTTAAAGATATCTTATTCTCTACTTGTCAGACTCTATTGTGATAATAAGGCTGCAGTCAGTATTGCTCAAAATCCTGTACATCATGATAGAACCAAACATGTGGAGGTTGATCGTCATTTTATTAAAGAAAAATTAGAGGAGGGTAGTGTATGTTTGTCATATATACCTACCAAGGAGCAAACAGCCGACATTCTCACCAAAGGATTACATAAACCCATCTTTGAGGATTTAATTAGCAAGTTGGGGATGATCAATATATATCTCCCAACTTGAGGGGGAGTGTAGAATATTCTAGAGTCTTTTACTTGTTTCTAGCTACTAGTATCTTTGAATAGTGTGATGCCTCTTCGGTTACTGTGTATTTTATTTATTACTTCATCTCCTTAACTACCTTGTAATATGTATAAATAGAACCCTTTGGGGTGTCAATCTATATATGAAAAAAATACATTTCCGTCTTATATTCCAATAGTAACCAAAGTAAAAAATGGGTTGGTGTAATATCCACACTTCAAAGCCCAAAAAAGGTTCTCACATGAGGGACATGTTAAGAGATATAATAAAATCATTCATAGCCTTCATCCAAAGGCTTAAGCTTTTGGGAGAGTTGTTTGCGTGATAATTAATAATCAAAACTCAATCTAGAATCTAAACGCACAATAACCATCATTCTAAGACATAATTAACAAGTCAATACCAACAAAAGTCAAAGAGCATAGGGGAAAATAAGTACAGCACTAAGTATTAAATACGTTTAAGCCTCTAAGGCTTAAAGTAACTAAAGATTCAAATTCAATACAATTTTTTCCCTAAGAGTACGAGAACAGAGGAATGAAGTCCCAAAAAGTGGAATAAAAAGAAAAAATCAGAACACTAAGATATGGGAACAGAGATAAAGGAATTAGAAAAGGTTGACAAAAAAAAAACAAAGACAAATTAGGGGCTTTGAAGTGTGAAGAGAGAGCACAACACATAAAATAAAGAACAAAGACAAAAGAATCTTAGCTCGACAAAGGGTTAGATGGAAGCAATGCTGGAGAAGAGACTCATGGGTTTGTGGAAACGACCCAGGAGAGCCGTGGTCTGACCAGAATTGAGATGCTGGTCAGCCTTCGTGTTGTTTGGTCCCAAAATAGAGTGGGAATTTGAGTGTTTGTTCTCCAATCAGAAGCCCTGTGTTTCAGATCTAAATTGAGGGAAAATCACAAAAAAAAAACCAAAAAAAGGGATGTATGTCATTGTCAAGCAGCCAACCGTCCCAAAAGGATAAACTGTTAGGTAAAGGTAGGGGATTGGCTTTATTATTATCTCTTAACACACTCCCTCACACTAGAACCCTTTTTGGGCTTTGAAGCATGGATAATGCACAGACTCATTCTTTATTTTCTTGAGCTTAAATTCGAGCTTTTTTATTAGATGAATGGGTGCAGCAAGGATCAAACTCTAAACCACTTAGTCATAGGCTCTGATAAAATGTCATACAACCAACTCTCCCAAAAAACTTAAGCTGGTAGGTAAAGGCAGATGAATGGTTTTATTATTATCCCTTAACACTCGATAGTCGATAACGCATAAAACTGGGGTAAAGGGCATTTTTCCCCAATGAAGCATGAGGGCCAAGACAACAGCAATTGTCTAAGATGGTGGCTGTAACTCCTGCTATAGCAAAACGCATCTCTCCACCACCATAGCAGCATTATCCCGTTCTTTTGATAACTACAGCTAAGCCAAAACACATGTTCTAAGTACTTGGATAGCCCCTAGTTGACTAAACATAAGAACCCCCCCCCCCCCCCCCCCCCAAAAAAAAAAAAAAAACAAAAAAAAAAAAACCCAACAACAATAAAAAGAAAGAAAGAAGAAGAAAAATAATAATAATCTGACCCAATAGAAGGCGACAAATTGTATCAGATGATAAATTTCATGAAATATGAAGTTTCCACAATCCACACTTGTACAAAGGGTTGACAGTTAACATATTTGAAATAAATCATAAAATACATACAACTTGACAGAAAGGAAAAAGTAAACACACCAGGTTAAAAAAGGAAAATATTAAATAGGTTTCACAAATAATAAAATACATGCTTATTCTTTCAAATACACGCTTATTCTTTCAAACTAAATGATCTAAACTCATCTAAAAAAAAATGATCTAAACTCAAAGTATTACCTGGTCAAAAACAGGTATTATATATTTGTTTATATAGTTGAGAAATTTGCTGCTAGATGCACCCCTCTGAAAGAAAAGAAAAAAATGAATTGGTTGAAGAAAAGACTAAACAGAAGGATATGACAAAAGATAAAACAGTATAACAGGCCTTACCACGACAAATGGAAGTGCCATGTGAAGGCATGATATCAATCTGTCAATATGATCTGCATCTGAAACCTACAATTCAACAGTTATAAAACCATAACATGAGAACCCCAAAAGGAATATATATTACATTATTACTTACATAGCTCTATCTGCGTACTTAAATGGGAAAAAAATAAAAAATAAAAATACAAATAAAAAGTAATCACATTGAACTGTGCATCTAAATCAGCTTGCCCTTCAATGATTCCAATCAGCTCTTTCATCCGCTCAGCTGGAGCCTTTTCGCCAAAAAGGCTCAAACACTTCAGGAAATCCATAAACATTCGAAATTCTATACCGGTTACATCTTCTAAACTCTGCAATGAAATGCAAACACAACATACAACTCCACTTATGTTATAAACTTAAACAGTAATAGATAGTCAATTTAACCCATAAAAATAATGAGTCAAAGCAAATATGAATACCTTTTTTATGAGATCAGTTATGTGTCTTTCCATTTCCTCTTGGGGCTTCAACAGTTCCGTTTTAATAGGGAAAACCTATAATAAAGATATTTAGTATTCAGTATTTGTTTCTATTTTAAAGATGCAACAAAACTACTGGCTAATTATAATAAAAAATTTGTCTGCTCGCCTTGTCTCTAACAAAGTTAATAACTTTCTCACGAATAACATCATCTGTGCTTGGCTCTTCAACACTGCCAATGTGCTTAAACAAAGCCGTCAAAGAAGCTGCATTGACAATCATACTATAAGGAGACAACCACAATGCAGCACTAATTATAATTGTCCAGAATCTAGAAAGCATATGGTGTGATTATTGCCAGAAAATTAAGTGTTCACAGCCAATAAGTTTTTCAGCAATTATAACATTCAAAGCAATAAGCCTAACTCTGCACGATCAGTTTGGCACATAAGAGCTTTATTACAAGCTAAGGGCTCCTCAGCAATCACCACATTAACATGCTATAGGTGATCCTCTTTATTGGACACATTAAAATAACGCTCATTATGCATAATTTCAAATATGGCAAACTATTCAGGCCAAGACAACATCAATCTAGGACCTCAGCCCATTGCAAAATCAATGTTTTCGAAGAAAAGCTTAAATGCATATTTTATGCCCGCTGAATAAGTGCTAATAATTATGGCGTTAGATTGGCCTTTTCTTTTTCAGTTTTATATAGATGATAGGTTGGCTAGTATTATTGCCACAGCTAGGGGAAAAGTTGTAGAAAAAGTAAATCATATGTAACATCATCTTAAGAAGTTTACAAGATCAAGAAGATCGAGATATGCAAAACGATCTCAAATTCAAGTTTATGCAATTTACTATCAGCTAACAAATATGGGCCATTTGATTGGTGATATATTTCTGTTACCTGATGATAAACAGCATGCAACTCAGCACTCATACTAAGGTGATACCCAAAATTAGAAGTTATTTTTTGCTTTAGCATAACCACCACAATATTCTCTCGAAGATATTTCTACTTAACGTAAAGACATATCAAAATACCTTTCACATACTGCCTCAGCAGAGACATAAGAGCCTTATGTACAGCATCACGCTCCACAAATTCCTCTAAAAGAATCATGCAAAAAAGATAAATCAGAATCATAATCATGGCCAAGTTCTCAAGAATGCAAAATCTTCAAAGATCACAACTTACCAGACCCAAGAATTTGCACAAGAATATCAACCACCTTGTCAATATTTTCAGGTGCATCCTTGCAGAAAAGAGGCAGCCCTCTAACAGCTTGCACCCGAACCTGTACAGCAGTAGAAAAACGCAAAATAGTGAAAATAAACCTCAGCACATACAGAGTTCACTAACAATCCACACAAAAAAAACAGAACGACCAACATACAGCAATGCAAGAGCCATTTTTTCTCTACTTCAATTTTTTTCCCCCTTATATAACTTTTTTTTCACTTTATTTTATTTTATTTTTCTTTTTAATTGTTTGTTGCTATTTTTTTAATGTCTAGTGTTATTTATAATTTTTCATTGTATTTTTATCCTTTTTTCCTCAATCTTTTTGTATTTCTCATTTGTGTTCATTTGCCAACAACCCCAACTAGATTGGTATAAAAGTGTTATTGATGTTGAATGTCATATTATAAATGGCATTATTTTTCCTTCAAACCGATGTTTTAAAAACCACTCAACCAGTCAGACTCAGACCAAAAACCAGCTGTGTCTCCAGTCTAACTACTCCTGATTATGTTTTCCGGTTCAACCCTGCTTGATCCATTAATTTAGCTGATTGACCAATCCTTGGAAAGAAAAACATTACAGTAACAGGATATTTATGATGATGTGGACACAACTCGATTTTCTTTCCCAATTTTGAACAACAGGACACCGTTCCTTCGCCAACAACAAAAAGCAAGAGACCGAGATAGAAATATAAATTATAGCATATACATATAATATGAATTGTGGAGAAAAAAACAGACCCCGAGTTCTTCAGCTTCAAGCAAATCAAGATGAGCGTCGAGGGCAGGGCCGGAGAGTTCAGGGAAGAACTTGAAGAACTTGGGAATGAGCTGTGCAGCGAGTTGCTTCGCTTTAACACTCGTCTTTGCTGCATCAATGATTCCCTGGTAATCCTTCACATTCTGCTTAAAAAAACACATTAACATAACGTATCACAACAATCCAAAACCCTAACTGAAAACTCGGACATCACAATCTAAAACCCTAAAAAACAATTATAAAAAGAAAGAACAAGAGTTTGAAAGCGATAATTTGTTTATAAAATTGAACCTGAGACTTGTCGTTGGAATTGTTGAGTTGCTCGCCGTATTCATAGAGCTTCTCGATGTAAGCAGCCTCTTCGGAAGAGTCAGTCATTGGAAGGTTCTGGAATTGCGATTGCGAAATTGATTGAGATTGAAGAGCAAAATCAGCATGTGAAGATGGAAATGGGAAAGAAAGAGAAAGAGAGGGGTTTTGCAGAGAGTTTTTTAGGGAAGAGAGAGAGAGAGAGAGTAACTGACCTGAGTTGAGGAGTTTAAGATAAATAGATAGAGAGAGAGAGAGATGAGTTAAAATGAGTAGGAATGGATTCAGTGATCCAAGGTCAAGTTCCTCTCTGATGGAGACGAGTTTCCTTTTCCAATTTCCACACGGCACATGCTCTTATCTCTCGGCTCGGCAAAAAAAAAAAAAAAAAAATTATTACCATTTAAATAAAAAATTACGAATATATATAGAGATATATTTTTCTTATGTTCTAGGAAAAAAGTTATCTCATGTTGTAGAAATAAAAGTATAAGTAGACCCCACAGATAAGAGGAGAGAGAAAAAGAGTTGTGAGACTCAACTTCTTTTTATGTGTAGAAGAGTTGTTTATATCATGTGATAACCCATATAAATATATATATATATATATATATATATATATATACACGGAAAGAGGCAGGATCCTTTGACACCGGTGTCAAATTTTAAATTTGACACCTCATCTGAGAGCCGTTAGATCAAAAAAGATCAACGGTGTCACATGCTTGCAAATCAGAGTCGTTGATCTTTTTTGATCAAACGGCTCTCATATGAGGTGTCAAGTTTAAAATTTGACACTGGTGTCAAAGGATCCTACCTCATACGGAAATACTACTTTCATTTTACATGAGGTAGTTATCTCATTTTCTCTTACTTCGAAAATCGTGCCCCTTCTTTTTTTTCTTTTCTTTTTTGCTTTTAAATAGCGGGCCCTACTAAGAAATCATGTATTGGATAGGATAAAATGAGACAATAGAATAAGTTAATCATATCTTGTTGACTCACCAAACAAGAGATAAAAATAAGATATGATAAGTTATCGTATCTTATCTTCTTTATCAAGTACTCCAAAGATACCCTCAGTTTACTTGGACGTGAACACCATATCTTCATGAAATAGATCCGTAGTTAATATGAAACAGGTAATTTTTATTTAAATTATAATAAATTAATTTTTTTTGCACTTATCTCTCCGCCAACAAAACTCTACAGCTACGCATCCACAACGCGTCGTTTCTTCCAACTGTGCCCTTAAACGGCAAAAGAAATACCAACACCTTACTTGGAGAAGGGGATCATGAGAAAATATCCTCTTTTTTAAATGAATAAATGTTTTGGTCATCTAGTCACTAGCCAAATAATATTCCTGTGCCCAAATAATATTTTTATTATTTGGTACTCGAGAATTTCATATATTTCTTCATAATATTATAATTAAGAATGTTAATTTTAAATAAATTTAAAAATACTTGATTAGCATTTTATATCTTGAGAATCAACATCACATTTATTCCAAAATAATTGAGATAGATAATAGGCGAATCCAAATAAAAAGTATAAAAAATTTGTGAAAAAAAAAGAAAATATATAAATAATAGTATAAATTAAAAAATAACAATACATAAATTAAAAAATAAAGTGAAAATATAAATACATAAAAAAGAAAAATGTATAAGAGAAAAAAATAAAAAAGGAATAAATAAAAAATAAAGAGATAAGAGGAAAACAACTAAAAATGAGATAAACATAACCCATATATATATATATATAGAGGTTTAAGATAACACTTTTATTTTAGTCTTTCAGGTTTTATCTCAAAATTATTATCCTTCATTTTAATCCCGTACCTATAAGAAGACAAATGAGACTTATTGCACGCACAATAGACATATTTTGAGATAATAATCAGAAAGACTAACATATTGCACTTACACTTATTTTTGTTTTTTAAAATTATTTTCTTATTTTGTTCCTCAGAACTGTTCTTTACTAACTTTCCTTTTTTTTTTTTCTTAAAATGGATAGCTTTTGGTTTTCATTTCTCAATGACATCGATCATTTTTCTAAAATTTCTTGAGCTTTTGTTAAAAAATAAGTCCATTTTTCTCAAAAAAAAATTTAAAAATTATATTTTTAAAGCTTTTGCATCACCTAAATTCAACTTTAAAGCTTTTTTTAGGCTTTCAAATGGGATTTTTGTTGTTGTGAATTTTCAATATTTTTTGATGAGTTTTACCCTGTCTTTGTTACTGAAGTTAGTATTCGGGCTTCTACAATCTCCCATTTTTATCTTCCGGTTAACCCTGTAATTTCGTTCTTATGTTATGCAATGAAATCCAACGTGGCACAAAAGGCCTCCTAAAATAGAGCATATCTTTGGTGCTATAGGAATATGTACCTCTTTACTAAAAATAGAAAAATATGGGATTTAGTAAAAATAACCATAAAAATGTGGATAAAATGAGAAAAATCAATTATGTTACTTTTTTCCAAATATAATAAAAGATGTATTGAGTCTTCATTACTACTAGATATTTTCCTTAAACTATTACAGTGAACAGTTAAACTTCTCATTTTTCTTTTTTACTTGTTTGTTTGTTACACTATAGATGTAAGTATGTAACACTTAGCAAAGTTTCAATCCAAGATATTTTTATTGAAACTAGACAAGGAATGTTCAGCAAGAAAGAATAACTAAACACCGGATCAAGGGCTATATAGAAAGTTGAGTCCAAGTCTCCTTCCTTATACCAAGAAGGACAAATAAATAAAAAAGAATTTGATTACAAAAGATGAAAAAACCTCTCTCCTACCAGCTCATGTTATTCCCTTCTATTTGCTCCAATCAACCCTTCTACTTCAGTGTTGTTATTTAGTTTAGCAGGGTGTCCAATTAAAAATGGTTACATATTAGGCATGTCCAATGCTTGCAAGACATCCTTGAACTCAAAATCACGTGTTTCTTTGTTGAACCTCTCAACCAGTTTGTACCTCACATCATTCAAATAAAAAGACTGAGCAGTTTCCAAAAGCCATTTTGCCTCTGAGTCAGTCAACTTGCTGGTAAATACAATATCCCCACGGATCAGTACCAAATCCTTGCTCTCTGCAAATTCTGTGTAAAAGGACACAGTAAAGTAGGGAGCTGCCTGTGTTCCCCTGGCCTTGTAATCTTCAAGACCAGTAAAAATAATGTGTGGCATCTGGACTGCAAGAGAAGAATGAATATGTATGTGTAGATAACAACGAAAGTGTCAAAAAAAAAAAAGGCATATAAAAATACTCATAATAAATAAACCGTTTATTTCAGTTTGTTTTATTACAGTTTATGTAAGTTAAAAAAAAAATGTTAAGGGGGCAAAACCATTCTTGAAATCTTCCTCTCTTCATCCTACTCACAAAAATTGTTTTGCTGTTGACAGTTGTTTAATATTGCAAATAAGATCTAAGGATAGAGCGGATGGAAAACAAGTGAAAACAATATTCTCCAGCACCCTTTTCTTAACTGTGGTTAAGATTCCAACCAGAATGAGACTAATATCGTAAACCAATAAAAATACTCGGTTTTGGAAACTAGTTTTTGACACTAGAACTACCAATAAAGACAGTTTGTCAGCAATAAAAATGGGGAGAAAAAAACATAACCAGAAACAGAAAAAGCAAGGTACAGGACAACTTTCTTACCAAATATCAAAGATAACTTAAGGAAGCAATTTCTTTTGATACGTTTATTTTCTTCCAAGCCAAACAATACATAAGATTTCAATGTATTCCAAATTTACGATTATCATTATTTTCAAATTCTGATTTATATGCAGTTTTTACATTTTTCGCTGTTGAAAGATCAGTTTCAAAACTTCCACTAAACATTGCTGAACTGCCTAAGTTATTCAACTTCAAATATCTGTTCTATGATTGCATGCTTTTCTGTTAAAAACAATTAAACGAATAAATAGCAAACTCAAATATTTTAGAGTGCATTTCTATATAAAGATGTATCTCAAGACATTCCTTGAATCTTTTTTTTCTTAAATGATTTCAAAATCTCACCTTCTAAAAAATCATTTTGGAATGTCTCCAGTTCTTCAAATGTTTCTTCATGCATCAAGTTCTATTCTATCAATGAATATGAGGACAAACTAAAATTTCAAGTTCAAATATCCTTGTGTTTGGTAGAATATTAGGGTATCATGTACTAAATAGTATTATTGAGTTTAGCTATATTGTTTTAGTACGTTGTCAGTGTGATTGGGTTGAGCATGTAGTACAGTAGTAGTTGTACAAGTACTTGACCTAGATTATAAGTACAAATGTAAGTATAATGTCAGCGTTATGTATCACAACTATTCCAACTCTCTTTTGAAAATTATACTTGTGCTCCATCTCTATCTCTATCTCTGTTTTCTCTTTTCATCTAATCATACAATTTCAACAATTTCCTAGAATGACCTTTTTCTCTTTCACTGCAATCTTTCAAATTCTCTCATACTTCCTACATCCAAGGAATATATAATAATGCCTATTTTAAAGGGAAAAAAGGTTTCTGTTTTCAAAAGACAAGTAAGCAATCAGGCGTAACACAGTTTTGATTCACAACAATTATTGAATTTTTTCAAATAAATGATAACAGAGAACTTTATATCAAACCTTGAATAAACATTGTCGTATAACCACTTCCCCTCCACAAAGGAATGACAAAATATCGGCTGCCAAGGATAAATAAAGATGAGAACATGAAATCAAGAACATCATAAATTCATAGTATAATTATTGATCAAAATGAAATACCATTCTGAAGCTCTATGCTCCAGCAAGTGATAAAGTTTTGCTTTCATAGTTGCTCCAATATGACCTCTTCCTATGTGATACTGAAATAAAACCAGCCAATTCATACAGTTAAAAAAAAAAAAACCTTTTTTGGCATACAATTGCTAAACAGACTTACAGCTTTTTCACAAGTTGCATCAACATTCCATCAAAACTCAGAAAATCTACTCCGACTCAATAATGACAATAAACATGTCATAACAAAGAAGATGCTCCATATACAGGCCTTCAGCATATGATCCAACACAACAACAAAATTAAAAGCAGGTTCAAAGGAAAATCCTAGAGACCCACATCAAAGAAGAACAATTTGGTTGCTACTAAAAATATCACATTACTATATGTTCATGGACATTTTCTGGTTATAACTTACTAACCACACAGAAGAGAGGGTAAGCGTTTCCCATTCATCAACAAGCAGAAGCATTACTAAAAGCACAAATTTTCTTTTGTTGGTTCACTTTCTTCTTCCTCCTTGATGATCATATCCAACCTATCTTTTTCCTTTTTTTCAGTCTCTAACAACTGAAACAAATCTAACAAAAGCAAGCGGCAAAGACAAACAAAAAGCATTTTGAGAATACTGTGATCTTTCTCTAAAGGCAATCTAATACTTTATTCTATTCTTCCAACCAGCTTCACATACACATATTACAGTCTACAAATCAAACAAGAGAAAATGATAAAGAACAAAGTAATTGAAAAAATTACAGAAAATGAGACATTACATCATCCCAAACAGAAGCGATATCCTCAGGATAACGATCCTTCAGTCTCTCGACATCTACGATAGAATCCAACGGTTTAGGTTGCAAAGGGTTGAACCCAGTGGCGAACCTTGATGTCCTGCAGAATCCAAGCGAACCCCATTTCTGGAAATCGCACGGAATCTCCGGCTGATGTAATTTCTGTGAAGTTGCTCGGATGGAAATTGTAGAGAAAGAGCGCGTAGAAGGGTCGTTGAAGAGTAACAGATTTCTGGCCACAGAGGCTATGGTCCTCGAAATTCTTGAGGATACCCTTTGCATTGTAGAATTCGAAAATGAGCAAAAGAAACAAACTTGAGAATTCCCACAATGGCAGGCTTCAGTACGAGGTGCTTCAAGTGGATGCTATAAAGGAGTCGAAACCAAATTGGCGTAATATTTAGACTATTTAAGAACTAAGTTCAGTGGAGAATTTTATCAAACATTTTCTCCGCAGTTTTGATACATGAAGTATGATATACCTGAGCGCGTGGGCTTTTGTTATGGATTACACAAGGTTTTTTTTAAATAAAAAAAAAAATATTTATCTTTTAAACGACACAACTTATATCATTTCACTCTCACAAAGAAGTGGGACCCACACTTCTATTTTTTTTTTGTCAACACTCTCTCCTCCTTTATTTATCTTTTTCTCTCTCTTAAAATGACACAACTTTACATCCTTTAAAATAACACACACTTTTCCCTAAAAAAAACGTTATAAATGTGAAAATGAATATAAATAAAATCAGGGTTTAATTTTGATGTAATTTTTTTGAATTTGGATCCTCTCATGTAAAAAAAATGGTCATATAATCGTATTATTTGAATACAATCATTCATTTTCACTCATTGAGATGATAAAAGAGAACAAAAAAATGATTTGTAAGTAAATAGTTATGATGAAATAACATGACCAAATGATCATTTTTTCACATCATTCAATTTTTTTTTGTCTTACATTTTCATTCATTGAGAAAGCTTAAATTATTACAATCATTTAAAAAAGTAATTTTTTTAATGATGTGTCAACATATCATTTGATAAAGCTCAAAGATTATTTTTTGGTGAGGAAGCTCAAAGACTTTACACTAAGGGCGCATTTGGTTGAGGAGAAATTTTTTGAATATTAGGAAAATGTAATTGATAGGGAAATGGTTGGAAAGTGAGATAGGCAGGAAAATGTAAAAAAAAATTGTTTGGTGGGGAAAAAATTTATTGGAAAAATTGGGTAACTTTTATGAAATCTATGTTTGGTTGAAGGTAAAATATAGATGGAAAAACAAGTTGATATTACGAAAATAACCCTGATTTTTATTTTTATTTTTTACGGTATGTTTGGTATTACAAAATCTCAAACATACGAAAATCTATGTTTGAGATTTTGTCTTTTTGAGGCCTCTTTTTGCTCATTGTAATTTTAATTTTCAAGGTATTGTTCATATTTTAACAGTGCACTGCAGAAACAAGAAGCATCCAATTCCAGAGTTAAATGAGCCAAAACAATACAATTGAATCCAAAGACTTCAAAGTTAAAATGCTCCAATGACGGAGTCTGCCACCCAAAAATTCGTGCTACAAGTCTCATGTGTCTATTTCTGCTGCAAAAAGGGATAAGAAGAGAGCAAAAACCGAGGATGCTTTGGCAAGAGAGGTAACTGTTGCTACAAGTTTCCTTTTTGAGAGGGTATAATGGTCTCTAACAATTTCTCTACACAGTCATTTAGCTGGTTTTCACACAAAAATCACCTTCAACAAATCTTTCTCAACAGTGACAAAACCTATCATTCCACCAGCAAATGGAAAAAGCAATGCAAATAGGATAACTGAGTATTTAGATTGAATCTATTCAGCCAAACAAGTCATTTCTGGATTCCTTCCTTCATTTGCATAAGAAACTTTGAAAACTCTCTCAACCAAACACCACCTAATGGTACACTAAACTTAGACCCATAAAAGTATATAAATACTGGTTTAATCTTTCTACAATGAATGTAAATAAATTATTTATATTCGTTCTCAAAATGATATTGTTTTGAGTTGAAAAATTAAAAAATTATAATGAAAAAATTATTATAACCCTGAAATAAATTATAATTACAAAAATACCTTGATTTCTGCCTTAAAACAACGCCGTTTAGGGCTCAATATAGATAAATTATCTACATTGACCGTAGAAAAAGCGAACTCATAAATATTTATTTATTTTTCTTCTCATTCTCTATTAATAACAAATGAGAAAAAAGAAGTAAATATAATATTTCTTTAAGAAAAAATTTCTTTTTTTAATTTTTACCTTTCAAAAATATATATTTAGAATAGATATTTTTCTCAAAAAGTGAAACAATAATTAAAAATTTCAAATTAACAATGGTTAAGATGATGCTAAGTTTTGAGTTGGGAATGGTATTTCCTAATTTTGTAGTGTTCAAGGAGGCTGCTAAGGACTACGCAATCTATAAAGGGAAATATCTCATTTTTATTTTTATTTTTTTTCTAAAACTGACAACTTAAGGAAATTGTGTTGGAAATTTAAGTGTGAGTGAAAAGTCATATTGGGAATGAATAAGTTAAGCAATGAACATATAAATAAAAAGAGTCATAAACCAAATGTCTTTTATATTTTGGTTCAGATATCATGTCGAGTTAGTTTATGGTGAGTTTGTTGTTTAGGCTTATTATTACGTTGGATGGTAATCTCTTATAATTTGGGCTTCACAGATAACAGATTATCATGCACACTCCTATGTTCATTTGGTTCTGACTTACTGTCTTACTAAATTAAGAATTTAAAGATACTCATGGTTGTAGTGAAGTGTTGAAGGTGCAACAAGCTACTTCAAAATGACTTGGTAAGAAATTAGAATCTTATATAAGAATAAATCCGTAATCACATTACTAGTACTTTTGGTGTTATGGTGACTCAACCTAAGGCATATAGTATAATAGCCCATATTAATTAATTAGTAAATCAAGTGTAATTAATTAATTAAATATGTTTTAGTGAGTAAAATTAAGTATAATGCTAAATTAAATGAATCTGAGTCACTTTGGAGTTAAAAAGTGTACTCAGTGAAAATTAAGGGGTATAAATGGGTACTGGCAAAAGTACCCAAAATATAAAAATAAAAATAGTAACATTCCTAGAATAATATTCCAGACTTTTGGGTAAAGTTTGGTAATTATTGGAGTTGAATAGATAGACGAACTAATACCCGCTTAAAGCCACTTAACCTATGTTAAGTGACTTAAGCTACCAAATGACCCCCATTTCCCCCAAGTCCCGTCGCCAGAAAACAAAGAGAAGGAGAAGAAGAAGGAGAAAGAAGAGGAAGGAAGGGAGGAAGAGAGAGAGATCAAACCTTGACCGTTTTGGGTGATTCAAAAGCCTAAATCGCTTAGAATCTCGCCCTCTTTCATAATCCAAGCTTAGTTTTAAGTGGGGAGCTTTGTGTGGTGAGATATTGGCTCTCAAAAATTCGGCCCTTTGGAGAAATTTGGGGTTTTGAGAGTTTCTACCTCCATTGAAGCTTGAGGAGCCATCAATCCTTGGTTGTGTGACCATTGGTGGTAAGATTCTAACCCTTGAACCTCATGATTCCTTGAAATTTGCATGAGTTAGGGTTTATGAATAGTAAATTGGGATTTTGATGAAATGTAGTTGAATTTGCTATGTTCTAGGAAGAATGAGATTTAGTGCATGTTGTAAGAAATGCTAGGAATGACATTTAATCGGTGAAAATGAGCCTAGATAGTCATTTGATAATTGTTCATAATATTGGAAAGTTCATGCTTGGATTGGTTAGTATTCTAGCATGTTGAACAATTGGTGAGTTGAATGATTGATTGTGTCCTAATGATGTCTAGGATTGAGACATTTGGACCGACCGTGAGTGATCAACCGCTTGAACAAGCTATGGAGCTTGAGTAGCTCATTGGAATTGGTAAGCTCACACTTGTGTGGTGTTTTGAATTGAACATTTGATGGTTGATTGTGAAATACTCTTGGATGCAATGTGTTGATTGCATTACACCATGTGTAGGTGTTGTTTTTGGAGTAGAGTATTGTTGACATTGGTGGTGAACAAAGGTCGAATTGAAGCTTGAGGTAAGCCTTCGGACCTTGGGTGTAATTCCCTTGATTGTTCCACCAAGCCCTGAAAGGGTAGTGGTAATTATAATGTATATAAATGCAATGAAATAGTGTAATGCTTTGTTATATGTATGTGTATGCATTTGGTGTGGCATAGGATGGTGTTTCCCTATGTGGTATGTTGCATGACGATGCGTAAATCATACTTGGTAGTTAGCTGGCCAGTAGGACTATTTGCATCTGAGTTTCCTTAGGACAGCTTGAGAGCTCGAGGGATTTCTCCTGGAGATGTATTGCACTTTGCATAGATATGTATTTACTGCATTATTATTGTTATTGCTATTACACTGATATGGAACTGTGGGGTGGAGAGATGCTCCAAGGACCCCTGGTTTACTGGATATATTCGTATATCTCACCCCGTGTTGTGGGGACCCCCTTTCAGGTAAGGATGCCGCAGGAGCCTCTGGTGGCAAGTGGCCATATCTGGATTATGCATGAAATGTGGCATTTCTTTTGAGTTTATGCATGCCTTTTGTAGTTGACATGTATAGGATTTTATTTTGAAAGCCCATGGTCATTTGTATATCTTGATTCATTGGATGAACTTAGCCTATGCTCATGCCTTTGGTTACACCTTTTGTTGATGGGAGCCAAGGGAATGATCATAGTGTTTTGTAAGCTAAGTTCTATGATTTGTAAAGGATATGTAATGTAAATGATGCCTACTTGAAATTCAATATATGCATGCTTGTTATGTATTGAGTTGTTGAATTGGTTGGGCTGAGAATCAATTAGGTACCCTTTGTTTAAATTGGTAAACGATGAGAAAACAAAGGTCATGCTGCCCAAATTCTAGCTAAATCTCATGAGGAAAGGTTGGATGAGTGCTAGGATTTAGTTTGGGGCGTGGATAATTGGGGTTTGTAATGGGGATGCATCTTCCCCTAGGCTTGGACTTGAAAAATGTGGGAATTGGAATTCCCTGGCAGCGCGCTTAAGCGCCCAGGAGCGCGCCCAAGCGCCCTGCTGCCCCTGCGAGTGCCAATGCATTCTGCCTCCTCGCGCTGGAGCGCCCAAGTGGGGGCTTAAGCGCCCAGGATTGCGCGCTGGAGCGCCCTGGCGTGCGCTTAAGCGCCCTTTGCTGCAGAAAGTTGGGTGGCTTACTGCCCCCTCGTGTTTTAGCGCCCTGGTCCGCGCTTAAGCGCCCTTCGCCACTGAAGGAGGAGATGCTTCTGTCTCTGCGCGCTAAAACGTCTCCGTGGGAGCTTGAGCGCCCAGGATAGCGCGCCTGAGCGCCCTGTTGCGCGCTTAAGCGCCCATCCACACTGGAATGCCTGATGCTTACTGCCTCCGTGCGCTTAAGCGCCCAGATGGAGGCTTTAGCGCCCGATAGCGCGCGCTTGAGCGCCCGGTAGCGCGCTGAAGCGCGCGGGGCCTGTGACCAACACTCTCTTGTGTTGCTTCAATTTGTCCTAACTTGGGCTACAGTGCTCCGATTTGAGCGCGGTTGGAAGCCACGGGTAGCTAATGAAGAAACCTACAATATAGTAGAAGTTTTGAACTAAACAAGAAGTAAATTAATGGTTTAAAAATGGGAAATGAACATGATGTTAAGCTTAATTTATCTGTTTCCGCAAGGTAATATGGTTATGATCACGAAATTGGGTATTATAAGTTCGGTACGTTTTAAAATGAAAAATTTATCCGGATTTTAATTGAACCCATGTGATTGTAACTGCGCTTAATATCATAATGCGATGTTAACAAACCGGTTCTAGAACGGGGTGTTACATATAGAGCATCATAGATTGCATGTGAAATTGTGAAGGGTTAAGAGAAAGAGCAGTATGAACAATGTTGGGATTGCTGTAATGAGTTGTTGGATAAAAGCCAAAACTTAACAATTCAGATGAGTGTAGACAAACTTGCCCCTGGCCTCCCACCTTTATTTAACAGAGTTTATATCTGTTTTGATGCTTGTAAACATGGTTGGATAGAGTGCTGTAAGGAACATTATGTTGGGGAACTATTAACAACTGTTTGTTAAGATGGGGATAATGGTTTCTATCCTATTGCAATAGCTGTTGTTAGTCAAAGAGGTAAATGCGAGTTGGTTGTGGTTTTTGACTAGATTGATTGAGGATCTTGGACCACATGGAGCTTGGATTTTTTATATCATATAGATAGAAGGTAAGCTTTATTTTCAATTTCATGACAGCTTTTGTTTGCATTTTTGCATGTTTTCTGACTAATTATTGTAAGTTGTAGGGTCTAAAACTAGCCCTTAATGCCCTGTTGATGGGTGTGGACCATTGATATTTTTGTAGGCATATTTGGGCCAAATTTTTTAAGAAACGGAAAGGAAGGAAATAGAGACAAGTTTTGGATACTTGCAATGCCGCACACAATGGGTGAATTTGAACATAAGATGGCCGAGCTTAAGGTATTCAAAAAAGAAGCCTGGGATTATTTGGTTGCCATTGGTCCCATTCAGTGGACAAGGACTACATTTAGGACATATCCCAAGAATTATATCACCCACAATATTTGTGAGCAATTCAACTCCAAGTCCAAGATACTACCATCAGGAAATTGACACTGATTTTGAACAAATCCAATATTTGCAATCGTTTAGTTAGTGTTGGATGGTAAGTTTCTGTAAAGAACCAATTCAACCCAAAAGCTTAAGTTTTTAGGTGAGGCTACATTAATGGTTTTATATATCTCAACACACTCCCTCACACGAAAGTCCACTGGACTTGAAGGGTGGACAATGCACAGATCCACCTACCTATGCGAAGAAAGAAATTCCACTAGAAAAAAAGTGAGGGGCAACGAGGATCGAACCCGGTACACCGAGACTCTGATACCATGTAAAGAACCAATTCAACCCAAAAGCTTAAGCTTTTGGGTGAGGCTACATTAATGATTTTATATATCTCAACAGTTTCAATGTGGAGGCATAATTGAGAGGAGATGATATCACAACACATACGTGAATTTGCTTTTGGTTTTAGCATTTTTGATCAACCAAAGTTCAAAAGGATAAGAAGAAGATTAAAGAAAGAATCATCACCATCATTGTCATAATAACAGAATTTGCTCATTTAAATCATGATAATATTAATGGTTCTATAAAAGATTCATTGAAGTTTAAGGATAAGTTAAGTGAGTAACCTTATTTCAAGAACACTTGGTGATTCTTTAGTTGCATATGTGAGATCACAAACATGACATTCATACTCCAACAATTAGTATTAGAGTTACATCTTTAATTTTATTTAACAAAAACAAAAGCATCTGTGTGTGTAAAAAAATTTAACTAGTTGACCCTAGGAAGTGGAGGGTGGAACCCCAGTGAAAGGCTGTGTGACCTGTGTCACTTCCACTTTACTCACTGAATGCCCTTATGCCCATAATTCTAGCTATGCTAAAGTACATTATAATGCTAAGCTTACAGGAGGAATAAATTTGCTGAGATGGCCCACCAGCTTTTTTATATAGTCACAACAAAAGGCTCCCCACCATAAGACGAACCTGAAAAAGGAAAAGCAACTCATAGTTTGGTCCTCTACATGCACAGAACTACAGAAGGGGATGGAGAAATCAGTGAACTAAATTAATTAGTCTGAAGAGGTACACTTATTTATAATCTAGTGGGGTTTTGGTTGCACATGCCCAGCATTTAATAACTCATGCAAAGGCTGTGCCACACTGTTGTTAATTGGTGGGGTTCACTGACTCACTCTATCGTCCTTTCACTCAATTACTGCTCAAGCTATTTTTGTAAATTGAAAATATTACTTTCATATTTTTTTTTTGCTCTATTACTTTTTACGGTGCATATGGTTTTGAAACTAATATTTCACAAATATTTTGTAGAATGCATAATGTACCAATATCATTATCCTTTATAAATTATAGATATGCAATTGCTACTAATGAGACTAGTATCCTCTTCCTTATTCAAAAATTGCCAATTATATGAACTAGAAAAATGAATGACATAGTTTAACTGTTTTCAAAATAATCAATGATAATTGATTAACCATAGTTTCTCCCATTGATCAATTGTCACTGATTATTTCAATCAACTGACCCAAAGTGGCAATGATGCTTCTAGGTAGACCATACATATTCATTTGACCAAAACAAAAACCCATTATGATTAAACAAAAATGTGTCAGAAAGCTGTTATCAGGTGGGTGAACTTCAAGTCTAATTTCAAGATGTTCAAAGGGATGTCTTTTGGATTTTATTGAATTCTTTTTTTTTTTTGGGTTGTCTGGCCTTTTCTGCATTAAAAAGAACCAATTAATTCAGCTTCGTTTTTCTCTTATATGAGATTCACGGGATTTGATTCCCTCTAATTTTTAAACCCCCTTATTCTTATTAGAAACCTGTCTCATGGAAACATTCAACCTTGCCTTCACTTTTGATCTTCTACATTACTCTCACCCTTCTTTGTCCTAAACTGCCCCATTATCTAAACTCATGGCTCTCCCTTCTTTTTCATTTCCATTCATTTCTTTGTTTGTTTTCTTCATTTTGAATGAAACTTCATCATGCTTAGCCATATTTAGCAACACTACCCCTCCCCATAGCCAGCTCTCAGTTGATTACTATGGCAAATCTTGTCCACAGCTAGAGAAGCTTATTGGCTCAGTCACCTCTCAACAATTCAAAGAATCACCTGTTTCTGGGCCTGCCACCATTCGCCTCCTATTCCACGATTGCTTTGTAGAAGTAAGCCAAATTCCACAAAATAAAGGCTTTAGCTTTGCATGCATGTATTGGCTTATTTTCCTAACTATTGTCAAAGATTTTTCTTTTCCTAACTATTGACAAATATTCAAAACCAGAAAGAAAAACCCATTTGTTTTCCTAGGTGCATTTAACTTATTCATCCTTGTTTGATTGTGAATTTTGTGGTTTGGTGCTCTTTTTCTTAGGGTCACTGATAATTCTTGAATGGGTGAGTGCAGGGCTGTGATGCATCAATTTTAATAGCATCAAAGCCTGGAAGCAAGGATTTAGCAGAGAAAGATGCAGAGGATAATAGAGAATTGAGGGTGGAAGGTTTTGAGACTATAAGGAAAGCTAAGGAACTAGTTGAGAGCAAGTGCCCTGGTGTGGTGTCCTGTGCAGACATTCTTGTAATTGCAGCCAGGGATTATGTACACTTGGTAAGTTATTGCTTCTTTGTTTCAATTCCTATAATGCTTACATCTAAAAGTTTTATTTGTTTTCTTTTATTCTACCCCTACTTTTTGGTTTCTTCCTTTTGCCATTATAAAATGTGGGCACTTTACCAACACCTTCTAGTGCTAAAGTTTTGACATCAATATGTACCAGTTCACATGAAAGATAAATTAAAAATAAAGAAATTGGATAGTAGTTTTTGGAAAGAGGTTTTCTATAATGTAAAAAAGAAAAAGAAAAAGAAAAATTGAAAAAGACAATACAGCCAATCTAGTTCTTCCTAAACAGAGACAAAAAAGCTAAAAACTATGTTGTAGAATAAATTCCTCTTTGCATGGTAGTTTGTCTAGCGAGAAAAAGACACACAATGAGCTAGGCATTGGTAACTACAGGCTGGTTTTGATTCTATATCATCCAAAATCACTTAATTTAGCTCTAGAAAGTAGAAACAGACAAGTTGTTCTTGGTTCAAGAGTTTTTCCTACGTCAAAATATGGAAATGCTTCTTCTATAATAGTAATTGCAGTCTTGTAGCAGTTAGAAAAGTGGCCTGTTTCATACAATGATTTCACATAAAGTCAAATTAAATTTGTTTTCATATTGTCATAAATTGTTTGGTAAGTTAGACTCCAAAGCAACCGAACTCTTGTACTTTTACGTGTGGATTATTTGTGCACCAAACACAACGCTGCTTCTTAATCTTAGATCTAATTCTTAGTGTTGTCCTTCTCTATATAAGTTACTTCCTTTGACCAGAAAGTGTTTATAAACAGACCTATCCAATCTAAATTAAAAGGGACCATATAAAAAATTTAAAATAAAAAAATTTCTTCTTAATTGTTAATTTTTTTTTTTTGGTAATAGTTATTTCTTTTATTAAGGATTTTAATAACGTGAAAGCACCATTTATTATCCAAGAATTTAGCTAAAGCAAATGCTAGAAAAAGCCCAGGTCCACAATTTGATATTCCTAATAAAATAACATAAACTCAGCATTATAAAACAAAATGGACCCATTTTAAAGATTAACTAAGCAGCGCTTGATATAAATAAGGTTTTTGTAAAAGAAGTTATCTTGTAGGAAAAGTGAACTTGTCATGTTATAGAAATTCGTCTTTAGTTTTTTTTTTTTTTTTTGCTTTAAAAAATACGGACCCCATAAAATGTTGTATATATAAAAAAATCTTTTTTTTTTTTTTTCTGTTGCGAGATAGATGCAAATCCCTATAAATAATGATGATTTAGTCTACCAAAAAAAATAAAAAATGATGATTTAGTGGCATGTGATACAGCTAGGAGGGCCCTATTACCAAGTGAAGAAAGGAAGATGGGATGGAAAGATATCAATGGCATCAAGGGTGGGACCCAACATCCCTCATGCAAACTCAACCGTTGATCAACTCATCAAACTCTTCAACTCAAAAGGCTTAACTATACAGGACATGGTTGCTCTTTCGGGTGCCCACACAATCGGGTTCGCCCATTGCAAGCACTTTGTGACCCGACTCTACAATTACATGGGCAAGGGTCAACCCGACCGTTATATGAACCCAAAATTACTGCATGCACTGAGAATGTATTGTCCAAACTTTGGTGGAAACTCAGATATTGTTGCCCCATTTGATGCCACAACCCCATTCTTATTTGACAATGCTTATTATGTTAACTTGAACAACAACATGGGTTTGCTAGCCTCTGACCAGGCTTTGGTTTTGGACCCAAGAACCAAGCCACTGGTTCAAAACCTTGCTAAAGATAAGCAAAAGTTTTTTCAAGATTTTGCAGCTGCCATGGACAAATTGAGTTTGGTGAAAGTGGTAAGAGGGAAAAAGCATGGGGAGAAAAGAAGAGATTGTAGCATGCATATGTGAAAACTGACATGTAATTTACACAATTCTTGCATTCATAACTGCATACATAACTTCCCTTGAACTTTTCTTTTATTAAGTTCATTGTGGTTTTGCAGTTATAAATGCAATAGTTGTGCAGATATTACTATTCGTTGAGATTAATCTTTTATTTATTTTTTCCTTCTTTGGTTCGTGAGATTTTGTGTTTTGACTACATATAATCTTGTATTTAACCCGTTGTTTTAATGTATTCCTTAAGGTGGTGTTTAGTATGTGGACATATTTTTTTCCCAAGGAAATTGATAGTGGCAATCTGATATTGCCATGTTTGGTATAAAGAAATCTACCTAAAAATATTTTATTCCCAAGATTTTAAATAAAACATAACAATCCTAACGTAAAATGTCATTCAAGATGTGGTAAAATGCCATTCAGGATGTGGTATTTCAAAAATCCTAATGGATAAAAAAATGTTGACCGAAAATCAGCCTAATATTTCTGAAAAGAGTAAATACCATTTTTAATCCCTAACAAAAAACACAGTCCCCACTTTAATCCCTTACAAAAATAAATTAGTCAGTTAGTCCCTAACAAATTCAAAATGGATCCATTTAGTTGAAATCGTGGTCCCTCAAAAATTCAAAAAAGACCCATATTAGTCCCTCAAAAAGACTAAAATAGGTCCACCTTGAATTTGTTAGGTACTAACTGACTAATTTATTTTTGTAAGGAACTAAAATGGAGACTGTGTTTTTTTGTTAAGGATCAAAAAAGATCTTTACTCTTCTGAAAATATTTTGACTAACCAAACAACTTTTTATAACATTTCCGATAAACTCATTTTTCCAACATATTTATCGGGAACAGGATTCCCAGATATTTTTTTTTTATTCTCTATCAACGCCCCTAAGAGAATGGATTTATTATACATTAATATTATGTGATGATTACAATAATAAATGTTATTAAGTGATGATTAGAAATATTAATTACTAAAATTAATGTACATTTATCATTTTCGTTTATGATATATAGAAGTTAATTCCAATCAGATAAAGTAAGCTGAATTTTTTTAAAAATAGAGCAACTTCCTATACTCCATAATCATATTGTACTGCATTAAAAAATTCATATGGCACTGAATCAAAACCTCCAATGCTATCTTCAAGTCAAAATGAGTTAATCCTGTACCATCAGAATGAGTGAATCGAGTCAATGCAGTTATTTACACTCCTATGACTTCATGGAGATAATAGTTGCTGCAGTAAATAATGCCTCTTTTCCAAGGGACGATATTTCCATTTCCCTACACCATGGCAGACAACAAATTTGGACATTGTCAAGATAATTAAAAAAAAGATTTTAAAGCTTACCGAAAAAATTATGGATTTTATAGGATCTGTTCAAATTATTGGTACACTTAAGTCAAGCATAGAAGGAAACTCAAATTAACATGGTTTCATATATTAATTGTAAATGCAAACATTCTTTATAAGTAAATAAATATGACCAGTTGTCATAATATCCCAGGTCATGCAAAGATAGATGCAAAAGTAAACAAAGTTAAAATCCTAAGAAATGGTTCCCTTACTCGTCTGTGCTTCTCAAGCTATCAAAAGTAGAGATAAACGTCTGGCACAAAGCTACAAGGGCACTGACTTCTCCTTCTTTGTCACCAGCAATGTTGTCATCTACATGTCCTTCTGACAATATTGACAATTGAGCCTGAAAGCCAGTAAAAACCCAATTTAAAAAAGAAAGAACTAATTTTAGCAGCTCCTCATAGGCTCATACAATGTTCAAGGAGTATGGGCTACTATTTTAGCTTCCCAAAGGGCAAAAATGACTAAGCTTCATACTAAAAAAAATCCAAATGGCAAAAACTTCTAGTTAGTCCCAATACCATGAGAATAACAGCTATCAAAGGGGTCATTATCCAACCCCAGGGATTTAGGAAGTTCTTTGTCTATATGCAAAGGGGTTTGTTTAACTTTCATTGTGATATTCTTCTTGTTTTGATGTGTTCATTTCTTCTTTAGGAGGATTCCAATCCTCAATCTTTGTACTCCTTTTATCTAAAATAGTTGATTAAAAGGGTCCGTTTGCTTTGCTCAAAAACAAGGGACAGTACAACACTAAAAAATTGTGCTTCATTTGGTTGTTCAAATACTATAATACTCAACAAAAGTCTCTAAATTTTTGTTACCCACTAAACCAAGTGTTAGAGAATAATATAAACTATTAAAAAGACCCTCATCCAACACCTTAAGGTTTTGGGTTGAATTGGTTCTTTACATGGTATCAGAGCTTCAGTGACCATAAGGTCACGAGTTCGATCCTCACCGCCCCTCACTTGTGGAATTAAATAAGTATATGTAAAGAACCTTGGGATACACCACCCCAAAAGCTAGCTCAAAGGGTGGGAGTGCCCAAGGTCTTATAAACTCCACATTAGTTGCACATACAACCAATGTGGGACTATATATCTCAACACGCCCCCTCACACAAGAGCCCATTGGGCTTGAAGAGTGGACAATGCAACAGGCCCAGCCTACCTGTGCTAAGAAACACCACAAGAGAAAGTGGAGGGCGGCGAGGCTCTGATACCATGTAAAGAACCTTGGGATACACCACCCCAAAAGCTAGCTCAAAGGGTGGGAGTGCCCAAGGTCTTATAAACTCCACATTAGTTGCACATACAACCAATGTGGGACTATATATCTCAACAGTATAAGGTAAACTAAAAATTGTGCCTATGCAATAATCCACGCTTCAAGCCCAAAGGGCTCTTGCGTAAGTTATAAAATCTTTTCTACAGCACAAAAAGAGAAAAGGACCAATAACCTTTACCACTACATTATCCCAAGTTATATTATAATAAATTTTGCTTTCTTCAATTCAGGGATATCACAAATTTGCAGTCCTGTGCATTGGTCATCAAACAGCTAACACAAAATATTGTCATGAGATTCAAATACTTTTGTTGTCCTATTCTGTTAGTGTAGTGTAGTCTCTCAAGCACAACCAAAAAGTTATGTCATTCAAAACAAAATATATTATGCATTGATTCATCAAATAAAGACAAAGTACCTGAAAACCATGAGCCAAAAGCAACTGAACTACATCGGCACCAATTTTTTTTAGTATGCTCTTAGTGCCAGTTTTATTTGAAAAGCATTTCAAAGCCCCATCAAATGTTGCATCTTCAGTACAACCATCAGACTTACGGGTGCGAACAGAAGGCTGCAATTTCGTATATTACAAAGGTAGTTAAATCAAGAGATTATCAAAAGCTTATAGCCCACTACCAATAAAGCCTCCCCTTCGAGAGAAAGAAAATATAACGTTAAGCAACTATGAAAGATTTTCTAATAGTCTAGCGGTGGACTACCTTAGTTATGTATTTCCAAAGATACTGCACAACTATTTCAAGCTTCCATTTAGGTTCACTGAAAATCTGCAGCCATTCTCATGAAAATCAAAAGAAACTATTAGCCACAAGATAACACCCTTAAAACATGACTTGAAATTGGAATTTGGAAAGGTTAACTAGTAACTACCGAATTAAGAAGTGTCAAGTAATCCAATATTAGATACTATGTAAATAATGGTAAATCCTCATATCATTATCCGGAGATTGGTTTGTTTTACATCTTGATCAGAATATGTCCTGACAAAGGTTTTTAAAGGAAAAGCATAATCTTATACATTATTACTTCATCCAGCCCATACACAAACAATTATATGCAAAGGAGAAGAGAGTGAGAGGAACAGAGGGAGGGAAAGGGAAGAGAGACAGTATTCATGAACCACCTTAAGAAAAAGGGGAACGGTATCTTTGCTGTAAGCTAGTTCATCCAGAATTATGTCCATCAAAGGCGTTCTGTACCAAATGCACAAAATATAATATTGCATCCATTCAATCAGAAGAATGACATACAAAGAAACAAAATAATCAACTGAAGAACAACACTGTAATGAAACAAAATTTTGACAAACTACCTTGGACCATCTGCTCTTGAAGTATGACCATCAATATCTGCTTTCTTCCTTGACATATCAAGGTCCATAATCTAAAATCATCATAATGTAAGCAGACACAGAGTGTTGTTTGTAGTTTACATATATACAACAAATAAAATTATTCAGGAACATACCATCACCAAAAGTTTCTCCATAGAGACACATGTGTTCTTCATTACTTCAAGTATAGCAAGAGATAATGCAGTATGACAATTTTTGGATAACAGAGATTCAGAATTCTTTCGAAGCTCTTGATATGTACTGAGTTCATTCTGAAGAAGTAGAGGTAGTTGACAAATAACTGCCATGCAATCTTTCATCAAGCTTTTGTAATTTATTTTCCTTGATCCCTGCAAAAACTAGATCAGATATACATTTCTGCAACAACAAAAGGAAAAATCTTTCAAGGTGGTGGAATCAAGATGCATAAGATCTCAACAACAGGACATATGGAAAGAAGAGTGTTAGTATGCATATACTTAGAACATTAATTAATATAGTTAATTGTTAGTTGTTAGTCACACAAAATCTTCCAATGCTTTTGGCTTGAAAAACAAATACCAGTAACATGTTGAGCAAAGACTCCCTCTGCGTGCTCCAGTACATGGTTGCTGCAGCAGCACATTTACTTTAGAATTTACAAGCAGTTTAAGGCATAGCAACAGCAGAGATGAAATTCAACTTCATACACACCGTTACGAGGTAGAAAATCGCCTTCAAGAACAATGACAAGATATTGAAAGAGTAACATGTTCCGCAAGGGCTGCAATGAGATTATGTAAAGAAATCAGACAAATATATCTTTTATTTTTTTAAAAAAAATTGCACATAATTTGTAACTTTATGAACCAAACCTTAAAATAAATACATAACCACATGGGAAAGCTAGAAGCTTGGAATCTAAAACAAGTAAATATAGTTGACAGTAGACAACATATTATAGCCTCAGTTAGAATTTTATCCATATCCAATGGAAAATTACAAGTAGTGAGTCTCAACTCTCAAAAACTCATGCAAAACAAGTATCCATAAGATTCTAGAACGGAGTCAGAATGTACAAAATTGGTGAACTAACCTTCATGCTTGTTGCTTGAAATTCGGTCTCGGTGAAAATTTTAGCAAGTTCTTCAATCAGGAGCTGAAAGCTCTAAGGTAGGTGGAGAAAATAAAGAACAAAAATGAGTTTAAGAACTCAATATCAAATTGCAATTTAACAGAAAGAAACTTGAGAAAACCTTGTGGAAAATTTTATAAACAAAAGGATATAAATTTAAAAATATAAATAAGTTTATTGAGCTGCACTGCTTTTAATAGTTATAACTTGAATTAAAATGTGTTTACCTCCATCCTTATATTGTGCAACACAATAAAAAATTAATATAGATTACCTAAAGTAAAGGAGAGAATTAGATAACTTTTTTTGCTTGCCTAACCCAAATAAAGTACTCTAACCTAGCATGAATTTATATGATACATGTAAGAGGTGCACATATGCAACGAGTGCCATCATTGGTACATTTTCACCATCAGCAATTCCCTAAAGCAATCAGACAAGCAGATCCGAAAGTAGATCTCCTTAGATTGGGTAAATAAAAGTAGGAAGGCAATATGAACTTGTCAAAAAAATAAAAGAGAGAGAGAAAAAGTTAAGGAAAAACAACCAGTAATTCTGTATCATAATTTGAAATGCTTAAGAGCAATAATTTTGCCAAGAAAAGTTATACTCTTTTCTTTTGGCACACATAAGGATAGGAGAAAAAGTGAACGCAACAGCAAAATATTTTGCGAGTAAATGAAAGAAGAAATAAGAACACTATAGGATAAACTATAAAGTTGAGTCCAGGAGTAACCAACACACAGAGGGGTCAAGAGGTGCACCAGACTTTCTGTCACCTGCTTCACCGACAGCAGTGGCATTATCCAGGCAAACAACAATGGGAGACCATGCCTAGCAGAAAATATTTATATATTTGTAAATAAGTTCAACCAGTATCTCATATCACCATTAAATATACCTATAATAGAACAAAAACAACAGATTGAGATGACTAATAGTCATTCGTACCTCTTTAACTACAACCAATTTTGATGTAGAGTTAGAGGATGATGGGGAATCATCTGTGCCGGATAAATACACACGAGGGAAGTGCTAAACCCAAAAATAATTTAGTAATTACACATTTAAAGGTATCAGTTACAATTTAGGACCTATGAATATAAAGAGGTAAAGTCATGTGGCAGGCAAAAATACCTTGTCTAAATCAACCAGAAGCTTATAACTTGCCATAATCAACTCTAAAGACTTCCCAGCCCTCAGCATGTGGAAGACCGCCCCAAAAATTTTTCTTGACAAGTTAAAAACAAACACTAAGTAGGCATAAATAAACACAAAACACAATTCACTCTCCCACATACAACCTGCTATTGGTGGAGAATCAATGACAATATGAAACTTTTTCCTTTATAGAAGGAAAATGATAGGCATTCCCAAGTGTATGTGAGTGAGATAAAACACTTACGAAGTGGGGGATTTTCCATGTTCAAGCACAATTGAAGAAGCACGAACAGCATCCAGAAACGCAATCCCTGCATAAAAACCAAAAAAGATAACAACTTTTTTTTGTCATTTAACATGTATAAATTAAATTAAATAGCTATTTTTTCATGCCCAGACCAAAATAAAAAAATAAAAAAGAAAACACACATTTTCCGCTCAAGTTTTAATTTTTCTGACTACCCAGAAGTCCGATTAGCCTAAACACATTGATTTTCTTCGTGGGCACGAATGCAGTGCACTATCAAGTGGATATGAGAAGAAGAAACTAACAGAAACTATTTTTTTTTTTTTTAAAGGAGTGTGATTGGTACCGTCATCGAGTGCATCTTGATGAGCATCCTTAGCTTCAGAGGCATCAAGCATGGCGAGTATGTTATCGTCAATCCCTGCTCTATTTCTTCTTTCCCTACTGCTAGTAGGGTTCTCCATTTTCACTTCACTCCCCTTTTTCTTCGTTTTCTTTTTTTCACAAACAAATTTTGAAATTAAACAAATCAAAAGGTCTTACCTCTTCCCGCCAGCAAACATCATAGTCTCCTCTAATGGTTGTTTGGAGATTGATTTTGAATTGTTTTTTTTTTTTTGAGTACAAGAAAGGGGCAAAAGCCTAAAAGCAACAAAGGAAAGTAAATTACTAAGAAGCCAGCAGCAGCATCAGAAGTCAGCAAACGCCCTAATTCAAAGGGAGGGTCCTGATGAATGATCAAGCCATTATCTGGTCTACAGGGAAAATGGCGCCAAATGATCAGCGCACCTATTCGCTTCTCTTTTCGCAAAAAAACAAAGGTGATCTCCCACTCCTTCAATTTCGGGGTTTTTGACCACTATAGCTTTTTTTTAATAATTAATTACCAAATTGACCCTATTTATAAACTATTTCAAAAATTTAACCTCTCCAGAAAACATAACATCAATCTGCCCCTGTTTGACCGTTGACCATGAAGCCTACCCGGGTACACCCCTACTTACCCGGGTAAATTTTAAAATTTTTTACCTACCCGGGTACACCCCTCCCTACCCGAGTATATTTCTTGAATCTGAAAAATGTTTGAATTATTTACCCGGGTAGGGAGGGGTGTACCCGGGTAAATAATCATAAACTGGTTGTGTGCGCCCATCCTCTTTGTGTGAACAGCAAATGAAAATCTCTAAATTGAAGGACTAACGCATGGAGAACAAAATCTGAAAACAGGTTATTGATGAAAGATATTCCACTGGATCATATGCCTGAGATTAGTGAAGCAAATAATCAAGGTTCTGCTCCAACAAATGCTATTACATGTCACCAGTCAGACAATTCAAAAAAATGTTCAGAATTAGAGGTGAAGGAATTGGGCGTTAACAAGCTTGAGTTGTGGAAAACTGTAAAAGAGACAACTGAAGATGGCAAGAGGAAGATGTTGGAGAGGGTTGTCTCAGATGCTCAGAAATTGGCCATTCTTAAAATGACTCTGCAAGGTTTGAAAAAGAAACCAGAAACAAAGAAGAAAAGCAAGAAGAGAAAAGCTTGAGTTATGATTATTTACCCGGGTACACCCCTCTCTACCCGGGTAAATAATTCAAACATTTTTCAGATTCAAGAAATATACCCGGGTAGGGAGGGGTGTACCCGGGTAGGTAAAAAATTTTAAAATTTACCCGGGTAGGTAGGGGTGTACCCGGGTAGGCTTCATGGTCAACGGTCAAACAGGGGCAGATTGGTGTTATGTTTTCTGAAGAGGTTAAATTTTTGAAATAGTTTATAAATAGGGTCAATTTGGTAATTAATTATTAAAAAAGGCTATAGTGGTCAAAAAGCCTCAATTTCGAGATTGAAACAAGGGGGTGTTTGGTTCAGGAAATTTTTTTGAATGGTAGAGAAATGAAATAGATAGAGAAATGATTGGAAAGATAGATAAAGTGAGATAGGTTGAAAAATATAAAAAAAAGTTGTTTGGTGGGAAAAAATTTTACTGGGAAAATTAGGTAACTTTATGAAATCAACAGCGCATTAAAAGTCAGATAACCGGTTTTCCAAAAAATCTCATCTTCAAATTGGGTTTCTAAACAGTGCGGATATCTATGTTTCTTATAAATCTAGACAAATTGGATAGATGGATTTTTGGTGAAAAACGTTGAAACAAACATAGTATTTCTAAAAGCCATACTTGAGAAAGATAGATATCCGCTAAAAAGCTCCCGACCAAACACCACCTAAGGGAAAAGTGATTGTGATTTTAAATAACATAAACTTATCTCATTTTAAGAAACTTATCTCATTTTAAGAGAGAGATCACACACACATTTTTTTTTATTTCAATTTTAAATTATAAAAAATCACTCACTCTCTTTCTTCTATGATTTCTATTTTTCTGTGTTTATTTCTCTCCTAAAATGATATAATTTATGTCATTTAAAATGACAAACACCAAACTCTTGAATTAAATTAGGTTGGTTTTGTTTCTTTTTTTTTGGATATAGGTTGATTTGGTTTCCTAATATATTTTAAGAAAAATATTTTTGCAGTTATTGCAAATAAATTATATGTATTTAATCTCAAAACGACATTATTATGGGATTGAAAGATTAAAAAATTATAATTATAAAGACTATAATAATTCTAAAATAAATTAAAATTACAAAAATGTATTACGGTTAGGATCATCCAATGCTTCCTGTACACTATTCGGAATACAAACACTAGATAATTGTTTTACGGTTAGAACACATGATTTGGACAGTTTTTTAGTGGATACATGGTTACTGATTGGGTACTTAGCTTTTGCTTTTGGGTCAGGCTCATAGAAATGTTTGGGTATTCCTTTGTTATTTCTGGCAGATCTTCTTATTTGTGGGGTAGGAACAGAAGGTAAAACAGAATCAATGGGATCAGAATGTACCTCAATATTGTCTTCAGGGAATTCAACAAAAGATGTCTCGGGTATGTGTGTTAGATTGGGTGCTTCAGTGAGGGGAATTTCTTCTGGGTTGGTCTGTTCTGAGCTCTGACCGTTTATATTGGACGAAACAGATGGGGCAGAAGATCCTACCTGAATAGGCAGCCATGTTTCTTCTTCTCCAAGCAGTGGTGGTGCTGTCTCCCCCTGAGAAGAAGAAGAAGCAGAGACTCCCCTGAGAAATATGGTTGAGATTCATGAAATGAGACTTCTAAACTGACATACAGTTTGTGGGATATAGGATCAAAGCATCTATACCCTTTCTGGACATCAGAATACCCAACAAATATGCATTTTTTTGCACAGGGCTCTAATTTGTTTCGGAGAGGTTTGGGAACATGTACATAGGAGGTGCATCCGAAAACTCTTGGTTCAAGATTAGATACATGAGGAAGGGAGAAATGAGACTCAAGGGATTGAAGAGGAGTTCGAAAATGTAGGCTACTAGAAGGGGTTCTGTTTATTAAATAGGCAGCAGAAGTAAGGGCCTCACCCCAATAAGATGGAGGAACATGCATGTCAAACAAAGATGCTCTAACAACTTCTAACAAATGACGATTTTTTCGTTCGGCCAAACCATTCTGTTGGGGTGTATAAGGGCAAGATGCTTGATGTTTAATACCGTGGGAGAGAAGAAATTCAGTGAATAAGCCATTTACATATTCGGTGCCATTGTCAGATTGAAGGACATGGATAGAGGAGGAATATTGATTTTTAACCATAGCATTAAAGTGTTTAAAGGCAGAGAAGACATCTTTTTTGTGTTTAAGTAAGACAAGCCAAACCATGCGAGTGCTTTCATCAATAAAGGAGACATAATAATAGTAATTAGAAATCGAAGGGTATTTAGCAGGACCCCATACATCTGAATGGATTACTTGAAATGGAATAGAACTTTTATTAAAACTAGGGGAAAAAGGAATACGATGGCTCTTGGCCATTTCACAAACAGAACATTGAAAATCAGAGACAGAACAATTTAAAAATAAAGCAGGAAATAATTTCTTGAGGTAGCTGAAGGAGGGATGTCCTAGACGTCTATGCCAAAGCCAAATGGATTGCTTGTTGTGTTCTTCACTTGTAGTAGTCGTAGTATTAGCAGAGAAGTCATGTCCACCATCCGGGTCCAAGAAGTACAGCTTCCCCTTTCTAACACCATAGCCAAGAATCTTCTGGTTTTGGTTTCCCTGAAAGATACAGAAGTTTGGGCAGAATAAGACTTGACAATTTAAATCACAGGTTAATTTGCTAACTGAGAGCAAATTAAACTCAAGTGTAGGGACAACCAAAACAGAGGTAAGAGTTAAAGTAGGGGATAGGATTACGGAACCCTGACCAATAATGGCAGAGGTACCACCATTAGCAGTGGATACATAGGATTTTGTTGAGGTACAGAGAGAAGAAAGAATAGTGGGGTCACAAACCATGTGGTCTGAGGCCTCTGTGTCAATTATCCAGGTTGTAGTCCGAGAAAATGTAGAGAGAGCAAGAGACGTACCTAAAATGCCTTCAAAAATTGTATTTGCAGTAGGTTTAGAGAGGTTATCATCAGCGGAGACAGTAGCAGCAACATTGTTGAGAACCTTTCAACGAGGGCGTTTGTTGAAATCCCACCAGTCTAGGTAACCGATGATTTCATAGCATCGCAGTTTTGTATGGCCAGAATCACCACAGTGAGAGCACTGGAGAGGGTTGGATTTTTGCACTTCTTTGCGAGGCCGTTGGGTTGAGGGGCCAGAAGGAGGTCGTGCTGAGGTGGTGACAAGAACAGAAGAGTCAGGAGAGGAACAACCCATGGTGAGGCGTTGTTGGGCTTCACGGCGAACGTACGCGTAGGTGCGCTCCAGGTCCAGCTTAGGGTCCTTACGGAGGATTTCTCCTCAAACCGAATCAAACTCAGGGTCTAAGCCACTGAGGAATATATGCACTCGAAGGCGAGCCATGGTGGTATGCAGGTGAACGATTCCATTAACAGAGGCAGCATCAAAATTCATACAGTGGTCAATCTCTTGAAAGATTGAGACCAGTTCATTGTATTTTAGACAGAGAGAGGTCGTCCAAGCTGTTTCGTGTTGAAGGACCTCTGATTCAGTTCGAAGAGGCATGTTTCATCAGACCCATCGTAGAACGTACGGAGTGCCGCATCCCAGATTTCATGAGCCGTTTCAAGGCGGAGAAATCGCTGCATCAAGGACGGGTTCATGGATTCAATCAGCCAACTTTTCACACGCTTGTTGTCCGTTATCCAGCCTTCATACGAAGGATCATCAGCCTGAGGCTTCGGCGTGGAACCTGTCAGAAACCCAGATTTGTTGCCCGCGCCAATGCGCATCTCCATGAGTTGAGACCACAACGGGTAGTTGGAGTCGTCAAGGATAACCGTGATAGGGAAGGAGAAGGTGTCATGGTGGATGACGATGTTGGAAGGATGGGGGGTGGTCGAAGATTGGGGGGCTGTGGAATCGTTTGGTGGGTCAATTTGTGAATTGGGGTTTTCCATCTCTGTTGCGAAAAGAAAGAACGAAGCACAAATGGGTAAGAATTCGGGTCGGGTGGGTTAAGATCAGAGTGAAGGAAGGGTGTGAGTCGGATTCAGGTTGGATTAAATGAAAAAGAAAAAATGGGCGATGTGGGACAAAGTAGAATA